ACCTACTTTTTTAATATAAATAAATTATATCCTTCAACATTTTGGACATCGCCATCTGGTCTAACCTATGAGTTGAGTACCCAACAATAGATAAACAAAACTTTCGGTAACCGTCCGGAAACAGTCCTGTCCCCGCTACACGTACGGTAAACCAAGGTAGCGAATTAAATCCTCATGAAGCAAAGTATCCGAGAAGAAAAATACAAAAAAGATTTTTTGTATTTTGAGGAGCTTCTATAGATGGGACCACGCACAGAATATCTTTATTTGTGTCACGCGAGAGGTTCGTCATCCACAGAGGAAAAGAAAATAGTAAAAACCATATTTAAACTTGTGGGTACATTTTCCATACAAAACCACGAGTGTCAAGACTTAACCACCAATTAAATGACACAATTTTGATAAAATGTGAGTCTCCATAGACTTAGAAATTGCGGCACTAGTTTGAAGATGTTTTACTATGACGAGCTCGACTCTAAAGGCGTGCCGGGACCGTGCAAGAGGGGATATGTTCACGCAATTATTATGATAAGGAAATTGTATTTTACACTGTGATGACATTGCAAAGTATCGATTATCCTGTGGGATTGATTGGACATAGGGTAACAATGGATGGTTGTGAAAGTTTCGAGATTTTTTTCTGTAGGAATCATTTTTGTGCTGATTTCAATCTTCTTGGTTTTTTATTTAAGTCGTCTAAGTACACAACAACGAAGTTAAAAGCCAGACCATTTGTAGGATCATCAAAAACCAAACAGACGACAAACCAAGCGAAAAACAACCAGAAACCTGATCCTTGTCAAGGGGACAAGTAAGGGCAAACATCTTCCTATGCAAGGAAGCGGGCAATATTCCTAGCTATACGATGTGCGGCGACTATACAGCAATAGCAATATTCTGCAATCGGCTTGTTTTAAAGCCAAACAGACGACGAACCAAGCGAAAAACAACCAGAAACCTGATCCTTGTCAAGGGGACAAGTAAGGGCAAACATCTTCCTGTGCAAGGAGGCGGGCAATATTCCTAGCTATACGATGTGCGGCGACTATACAGCAATAGCAATATTCTGCAATCGGCCGAGCGCGATCGATCGCGAGCGTGCACCCTGCAGTGAGTCCGTAGCGGAGGTACCCGAATGAGGCAATGTCAAAAGGTCGGCGAGCGAGATAAACGCAATGTCACAAGTATAAATAGGCTGTTACATGATGAGATTCTATGAACGGTGTATAAAACAAGAAAAGCGTTTTCCAAAGAATAGCAGGACACTAACGAATAAATTACTTCCAGAGTAAAAGTAACCATTTCTTTCTTTCAAAGGATAACGACAAAAGAGGGTAACCACTACTTCTCAGGATTTATGCATTGGACATTTTTCTTTTCTTTGGTTAATAGGAGATTACTCACGAGAAGTTAGGTACTTCAAGAGTAAAAACAACCATTTCTTTCTTGTTTCTTTCAAATAACTATCCACTTTATTTGGGTACACGACAGTAGAGGGTCAAGCGCTATTTCCCAGGATTTACACTTTGGACAATGTTTCTTTTCTTTGTTTTTTTTTATGTTACAGGAGGCAAACGAGCAGACGGATCACCTGATGGTAAGTGATTACCGTCGCCCATAATAGTTACAAATAAATCAACGATGAATGATTAATTTCAGACTACCCACCAAAAATTGACATTCAAGTGACCAATGCACCAATTAACTATGGCGCTAGAACATTGCCGGCACATATGCACAATCCCTATCAGTACTATTTATAGCTGATAGCGTCGGTCGGGCAGACCGCTTGTCTGGACTTCCTCGACGCTTGGCAGTCCATACTAGTCAGTTCAGCCAAGCCTTACGAGACCTTGTTTAAAGGGATACATGGACTAAAACCTGCATAATATGCAGGTTTTAGTCCATGTATATCACCTACACGCAGTAGGTACATTGTGATGACAAAAATAGGGAACTATAGTTCCAAAATACTGGACTGTCCTGTCGATGACATTGACAGTGGGGCGCCACCGTCAATACCGGATCGCTGGTTCAGATTTTTGCCATGTTGGAAACCATATAGTTGAACGATGGTAGCGCCCCCCTGTCACTGAGTTTGGCGGGACAGTTCAGCGTGGGTCATCTATAGTCAGACCATATTTGTAAGTATTAATTGAAGCAATGTTCCAAACACTGAAAATGTTCATTAACTGTTTGATGATTTGATTCTTAAATCATAGAACGATAACTGGTATTGCGTAGCTTATTTTTAAACGACTCCACAAGACGAATGCCTCTCCGATATGCGCAGCGTATAAATCTTCGAGCGCAGTAGTTAAGGCGCGAAGCAATAGCTCGTCGAGCGTTAGTTATTCGCGAACATTCTAGACTCCTCGTTCGTTCGTTCGTTCGTTTCAGCCAAATGACGTCCACTGCTGGACAAAGGCCTCCCCCAAGGTTTTCCACAATGAACGGTCCTGCGCTGCCCGCATCCAGGCTCTTCCCGCGACCTTTACCAGATCGTCGGTCCACCTAGTACCTAGACTCCTCATTTCCGGCCTATTTAGATGCTGATTATTCAGGATTCGATTGGGTGCTTTTCATTTCAGTGCTTGCAAAGTTTGAAGCTCAAAAAACTGAGCTTGCGGATTTTAAATCATTTTGAGGAACATTTTACGGCTTACTTTATGCCCGATGTTATGTCCAGATAGACTCTTGGTCTTGGGGTAGGTAGCAGGCCCCTCTTTCCCACTGGGCACTATGGGCACATGCCCAGGGCCCCGCGACGTAGGGGGACTATCTGCTCAAAAGACTGCAGACTTCCAGGTGATAAGGGCCCCCTTGATCCATAAGTGCCCAGGGCCCCTAGTAGGTTAAAGATGGTCCAGGGTAAAAATGATGGCTATTTTATTAGAGGACTAAAGGAGAGCAACTCCAGCTATTCTGCTACCCTACAGTTCAAAATGGTAAATATTATTACGTTGATTACTCGTAATTTTCGACATTAGACGCATTATTAACTAATAAAGCCGACGCACTTGATTTGATTGCACAACAATGAATCATATACCCGCCTCGAAAAAAATCTCTCCCCTTCGGAAGTCACGGCAATCAAATTAACGTCAGTAAACTTAAATTGAAACTAATTATTAGTAATTATGTACTATCTTAGAATAATAAATATGTTAGAAGATTAATAAATACTAGTAGTTGCTGACTTGTCTACACTAATATTATAAAGAGCAAAACTTTGTTTGTTTAGTTGTAATGAATAGGCTCAAAAACTACTGGACCGTTTTTGAAAATTCTTTCACCATTAGAAAGCTACATTATCCACGAGTAACATAGGCTAAATTTTATTTTGGAAAAGGGCTAAATTTTGTTTGGGCGGCCACTAGTAAGTCATATTTAAGGTAGGCAGCTGCTGTTTGCCAAATGGAATAAGTATCGGATTTTCTCAACAAAGAGGTTCCCAGCTGCGTCACAACGCGTCACAGCTACGGGTGAGCACTTACGAAAATGCAAAATAGGTTATTGGATTTGCCGCTCGCGCCTTTGCATGACAATCACGACTTTGCCTGAGTCTGAGTCTCTGAGACTACATCGCGCCAGATTTATTACAGGGCATGAACAAACGGCCGCACGCGCGCAGAATACGCAATTTTGAAGATTGTTACAGAGATATTACTATGACAACTGACAAGCCAATCAGAATTATCCAATTGGAAACATGTGGTGCGGTTTTGTTCCCCAGTCGATGAAGCACCTAATGTCATGCCCTGAGTGCCCAAGCAACTGCACTCAGGAGGATTTGATGGGTGCTACTGACAACGCCACTCTTGAGGCGGAGTTTTGGGCTGACACTGTGTAGGTTTGTTATCGACATGAAAAGAAGAAGATTGGAAACATGGGAATATTTTAGTAGGAACATTTTATTTACCGAATAACACATGTATAATGTTTAGGCTTTTGGAAGGGATAAAATAGTGTCTATGCCTACCTTTTCTGGATATTTGTAAACAACCTACATTGGACATTTCTGTTGTCTTGACCAGTAACAACTAGAAAACTAATCCAAAACAGACCAGGAATTGTCTATTAGAACTAGTTATAATTCAATTGATACTGGAACTGTTGAAATGAATTAGCACAGTAACATGAGGCTGACTTAAATCATAGGTGGTTCGAAAACAATCATCCAAAACCTGAGTAATGATAGAATTAATGAAGAACACGAAATGTTTTAAAAAATAGACTTTCAACAACCAATAACTTAAAATATTAGGAAAATTTTAGCCTATTCCTGGTTTAGAATATTATGCTCTGGTCCAAATTCTTCCTGTAGTCTAGAAGTTATGGAAACTTTGCAAGGTTAACTTAGTAAGAATTTTATCATCCATGTGATTTTAACTCGGCACATCAACAAGCTATGATATCATAAACCAAGAAAATAACTAAATTTCCCTTATCCTCCTCTGTCCATTTGAGTTAAAAGTCTAATCAATTTTTAGCTAGAAGAATGCCCTTAAATCTGAAATGTATCTCTTAGCTCTTGATAGTCCATTTAATTTGGATGAAATCAATAAGAGACGAATTAAGTAAATTAACGCCTTTACTTTTCTTCAAAAATTTTTATGCTTCAAGAGAATGAAACCTCTTTTCCTCTATAACTCAAGTGTGAAAGAGATTATTAGAACTGCCAAAATTATCTTAGTTAGTAGCCTTGCTCTACCCACTATTATTTAAATTCTGAAAATTATCCACTTGTTTTTTTAATGAGAAACATACCAAAGGTAATGAATCAAGTTTAGTCTGCAACAATGATTTTACAAATTTGGCCATGACACATCAAAATGCTGGTCCAGTTGAACACATACTAGCAAGTATAACATTAAAAGTTTTGGACATTTCAGTGAGGTGAGACCCCACAGGGGGAGGACACATGACAGTCTGATGCAACTAATTTTAGCCAATAAGTAATTAGCAATATGCAAATTAGTAAATTCATGATTTCTTACCTGTATTTCTTGCTAAAGTCATATAAAACGGTAACGCCCCGATGGACGAGAGCTGACGAACGGGAATTGTTGATCCTTGCTTCCAAGCTTGCACCAGGGAGACGTCCACGCGACTCGCCGGGCGCGCAAACCTGTCACAAAATGCCACATACTACACTATCATGTATAAATACGACACACGCCGACCATTATTACAATTTCCACACATCCAACAACTATTCTAACCAATTTCTACACCCGCAATGTACGCACCAGCTGGCAAAAACGTGGTGTCCACGATCGAATGCCTATAATGCCTACTCTATAGGTAAATATAGGCTAGAGTTGTTCAGTGTTACGTCTGTACATACCTTCCTCTGTCTATGACGAAGCGAAGCACCTCGGAAACTTCCGAACGCACGATACAAACTAAACACCAGCACCACTTTACGTTCGAGTACGAACAAACATAAAATAAATTAGATTTTCATCAAACGCAACACGTTATCGTGGCTAAAAATGACGACAGAAAATAAATGAAAAGTACACTTTCTTATGTTTCTGGAACTATGTTCACACCGGAAGCGAGCATTTTAAACAAGAAATAATAAAAACATAATATTTGGAATTGAGGGTGTTTGGGCTGAAAAAATATTTCATTTCTATTTATTCAGAAGCAGAACAATTACGAAAATTTTAATGGTAATTTATTTTTTCCGAAAGACCAAATTCTTTCTGAAAAATTAAAATTGACAAACGGAAATAAAAAAACTTTTAATTTTTATTGTATTTGTCTATGGATTTGATTGTTTTCTATGTTCAATTGGGAAGTTCGTGAAAATAATATCATATCACTCAATATTTTAGGCTTGTCACGAAGTTGGAACATGTTAACCCTTAATTTAACCAAATCATACGATCTTACGAAGAAAAAAAATATTCTTATAGGATATTCAAGAAAATGCTTTTTGCATAGCAGCAGCTATTATGACAGACAAAGAGCTTTGAGTATTTGAAAAATAATGAAAGACATCCGACACCAAAAATATAACTAACGCACATTAAAATTTAACTTTATGATCTAAAGGCCTCCTGTGCTACGTGCGTGCGAGACCCACCCGCCCATGTTAAACATTTTCTCATTATATGAATGACGCTTGTCTAACAAAGTTAAATAAAAATCGCAGTTACCATCAAGAAATACCTACTAGATGTGAAATTTCGTAATATCAGATTCCAATGAGAATTGAGAACCAACTGTCTTTTTGACAGATGATTGCACGGATTATGAATGGGTTTTCGTAGTTGTTGTAGTAAAATCCGAATAATTCGATAAACCGATTAAAGTAGAATAGATTAGCATAGTGTACAGTGTATAATCCGTGTGTTGAGAAAAGGTTCTAGTAGAGAAATGGTAATTGCAGTTTTCAAACATCTGTAATGGGTGTTTGAGGTTATGTCAGTCGTCCTTGTGAATCTTGATTGAATTCTATGATTATTTTTCAATTTCAGCATTCATGTCGACAATTGATTTACAGCCCTGCGAGATGGAAATGTGTTCTACCAGTTAATCTCAAGCCAACAGTTCTTTCTCTTAAATCTGATCAGGTAAAAATATATCTACCAATATCAATGAAATTATGACTGTTTTGTTGAAATATTTTATAATTCATGTTAATTCCCATAGCTAGTGGTCTCTCTTGTCTCGTTATTTCACACATTTTTACTTTAAACTGTTAAACAATTTTGTTTCATTCATAAAATTTTAATTTGTGATACTGTCTTTTTGGACTTTGTAATACCTACACATCTCATTAAAATAATATTACTTATTTATAACTAAATTCTTACTTAATAAATTTCAGAGAAATACATTTATTTCTTTAAATATTATCTTCCTAGCAGTTCCACTATTGTGTATCTCGAAAATTAAAAATGGTTCTCTTATTCACTCCATATCTTAATTTAATTTCCAGATAACAGCACTAGAATGTCGGCATTACTCGGCTCGAAAAGGTTTCTTCTCATCCATCATCGAAAACATCAAAGAGGATATAGAAAAAAACAAAGAGATGAAAGAAAACATAAAAAAATTCAGAGAAGAGGCGCAGAAACTTGAAAACTCTGAAGCCCTGCAGGTATTTAAACTATTCACACTTGCTATTTGTTTATATTCTGAGGTCATCATATGATTCATAGTTAAAATTTTTCATGAATAGGTACCTAAGTATTAAGTACTAAGTTTAGTACCTTTTCTATTGATGTTGTAGTTGTATATTGGGTATAACCTAACCTGTGTTTTTGTATGGAGTTTGACAGACTTTTGATGTATATTACATACAGTTGATGTAAGATGGCGCAACCCAGGATTAACATACGCTTCATGTTTTTACCTACATTTAACATGATAACAGGCTACTTTTTTACTCTTTTAGGCTGCTAGACGGAAGTTTCATGCTGTTGAATCAGAAGCCTCCAAAGGCTCCGAGGTGTTGAAGGAGACCATCGAAGGCATCAAGGGCAAGATGGGCCACGTGCTGGAGGAAGCCAGCAAGACTGAGATTGCCAAGAAAGCAGGTTGATTGTCCAAATGTATATGGTATTCTTGAGGCCCATGTTATGTAAAACCTCTTTTAGTTAAGATCTGAAAGTCTGGCCATCTGCAAAACTTAGTATTATTTTTTTGGTGTGGTAATTCTTAATATTAAGTCCAATTTTACTAGAGCAGCCAATAGCTTTTCTCATTTCACTTATTGCAACCATGTACTCCATACTGCCCATGGGATTGATTTTAGAAAGATGTCTTAATTGGAAATGTTGAATTTCAGGCAAATTGTCAGAAGACTTATCCAAAACGGCAAAAGACGCGGCCGAGAGCATCGCCGACACGCGACACAAGATCGGCAGGACGTCCGCCTTCAAGACCATTTCACAGGTATACAAGGTTCACATATTAGTATTCTAGTCTAATCAGTCTAAAGTCCGGTCGCCGAGCACGTAGAATTTCGTCCAATGACCCCAAGCTACCCATCCTTCATACTTGAGGGAAAAACGCCTACGGCATGGCACAGAAGTGTGGTGATACTTTTTTTCAAAAAAGGCGACAAAACCTTGTTGAAAAATTATAGACCCATCTCACTTCTGAGCCATGTCTACAAGCTCTTTTCGAGAGTCATTACGAATCGTCTCGCTCGCAGGCTCGACGACTTCCAGCCTCCCGAACAAGCCGGTTTCCGAAAAGGCTTTAGTACCATAGACCACATACATACGCTACGGCAGATTATACAGAAGACCGAGGAGTATAATCAGCCACTTTGTCTGGCGTTTGTGGACTATGAAAAAGCCTTCGAATCGATCGAGACCTGGGCAGTGCTACAGTCTCTCCAACGGTGCCAAATTGACTATAGATACATCGAAGCGCTGAAGGGCTTGTACGAAAACGCCACAATGTCGGTCCGCCTCCAGGATCAGAACTCGAAACCTATCCAGTTGCAGCGAGGGGTGAGACAGGGAGATGTCATATCTCCGAAACTGTTCACCACCGCCCTGGAAGATGTTTTCAAGCTTCTGGACTGGAGCGGATTCGGCATAAATATCAACGGCGAGTATATCACCCACCTTCGTTTCGCGGACGATATCGTAGTCATGGCTGAGACCGTGGAGGACCTAAACACAATGCTCGATGGCCTCAGTAGAGCCTCTCAACAAGTGGGTCTTAAAATGAACATGGACAAGACAAAAATTATGTCAAATGCCCGTGTTGTACCCACTCCTCTGAAGGTTGGAGACACTACACTCGAAGTTGTTGACAATTATGTATACCTGGGACAAACAGTCCAGTTAGGTAGGTCCAACTTCGAGAAAGAGGTTAATCGTCGAATCCAACTCGGCTGGGCAGCGTTCGGGAAGCTTCGCGAAATTCTCACGTCCGAAATACCGCAGTGTCTCAAGTCAAAAGTATTTGACCAGTGTGTGTTGCCAGTGATGGTGTATGGCTCTGAGACGTGGTCGCTTACTATGGGCCTCATAAGAAGGCTCAAGGTCACCCAAAGAGCGATGGAGCGTGCTATGCTCGGAGTTTCCCTGCGTGATCGAATCAGAAATGAGGAGATCCGTAGGAGAACCAGAGTGACTGACATAGCCCGCAGAATCGCTAAAATCAAGTGGCAGTGGGTGGGGCACATAGCTCGAAGAGATGATGGCCGCTGGGGCAGAAAAGTTCTTGAGTGGCGACCACGAGCTGGAAGACGTAGCGTGGGCAGGCCTCCCACTAGGTGGACCGACGATCTGGTGAAGGTCGCGGGAAGTACCTGGATGCAAGCGGCGCAGGACCGGTCTTTGTGGAAATCCTTGGGGGAGGCCTTTGTCCAGCAGTGGACGTCTTTCGGCTGAAACGAACGAACGAACGAACCCATCCTTATCGCTCGCACGTAATTATATTGCTATCGCGACTGTGCGACGTGGCCGCAGTGAGTGTGCGAGCATTGAACGAAATTCTACGTGCTCGGCGACCGGACTATAGCCCGTGCTATAGCTACAAACAAGGAATGTAATTTCTTGACATTTGTATTCAATTATTGATCATTGGATCCAAGATCTTGACATAGATCTGTTAACCAAATTATTATTACACCAATATGTTGCAAATGCATAAAATATAGGTCAATATTAATTTCACTGTGTTTTCTAGGCTACTGAAGTGGTGAAAAACGAGATGGCGCCGAGAGGATTGGAGGGACGGGTGTATACCTCGCCATTATCGTTAAGAAAACGGGTGGAGGTATGTACTTCTATGCCTTGAACTAATGCTAAGAACTAATCAATTTGTTTTTGTGGTGTGCTGTGCAGTGGAGGCCGCGTACCGAAAAATGCAGCGTGGACGTCCACAAGGTGAATCGATGACATCATAAAGGCCATGGACGCAGGCCACTACCAGACTAAATACAAATTTACTCTGCCGCTACCAACTGGGTAACATAGAAAGCATTGGGGGAGGCCCATGTTCAGCAGTGGACGTCATATGGCTGAGATGATGATGATGGGTGATTGAAACTTAATATAAGTATAAGTCCGATTTTAACATAGTCGATTGTTGTAGGTGGCGTCGATGGAGCGGTCGTTTGAAGCAGACACGGAGACCACGGGTGTGGAGCTGCACAGAGACTCCAAGTTCTACCAGCAGTGGGAGGACTTCAAGAACAACAACCAGTACATCAACAAGGTAAGGACCAGCTGATGGTCGTACTGTCTGATGCTGGAGACAAATGACAAAATCTTGAAACTACACTCGTGAGCAAAAATATGGAATCACCCTGTTTATTCCGAGCGATCATAAGAACTAAATGACTAATAGAAGATCAATAAAAATGGTACCATTTTAAAGGAGATATTATAAACCTAAAATTGAAACCATAGATACATACAATACATAGTCATTCAGTTCTTAAGACCGCTCGGAACATAAAGGGGTGATTCCATATTTTTGCTCGTAAGTATAGTTGAAACAAAAATACTTGATACATATCTTGCTATTTATTTATTTTATTTTTTTGTCGTATAGGTGCTCGACTGGAAAATAAAATACGAAGAATCAGACAACCCAGTGGTCAGAGCCTCGCGTTTCGTCACGGAGAAAGTCGGCAGTCTCTTCGGCAACATTTTCGAAAAGACCGAACTGTCCAAAACGCTCACGGAAATCTGCAAGATTGACCCTACGTTCACCCAGCAGAAGTTCCTAGAAGACTGCGCCAACGACATCATCCCGAACATTCTGGAAGCGATGGTCAGAGGGGATCTAGAGATTCTCAAAGACTGGTGCTACGAGGGAGTGTTCAACATTCTGGCGACGCCTATCAAGCAATGTAAGCAGCTCGGCTACCGTCTCGACTCGAAGATATTAGACATCGAGCAGATAGAGCTGGTCATGGGCAAGATGATGGACCAGGGCCCGGTGCTGGTCATAACATTCCAGTCGCAGCAGATCATGTGTGTGCGCGACGGCAAGAATAACGTCATCGAGGGCGACCCCGACAAGGTCATGCGGGTCAACTACGTGTGGGTGTTGTGTCGCGACCCGCAGGAGCTGAACTCCAAGGCGGCCTGGCGCCTACTGGAGCTCTCGGCCAACAGTGTGGAACAGTTAATCTAGTGCAGTGCCCGTGTACATAGTAGCGTAATTCGTTGTTGACGATTAGAGCGTTTTCGTAGGCCTCCGGTGACCTTTTCGAAACATTCGCGTCTGTTGTTGTTCGGTTATCGTTAAATATGCGGCCGTCGCCTTTCGAAGTCAAATACGTAGCTCGGTTTTAGTAAACGTCGACGTTGTTTCTGTTAATTACGTTTTCTGAAGCCGAGCGAACACACATTTCGAAACGTGCCCGGCTCCAAATATGAATGGTTCGCGTATATTTATTAATGTGACGAATAATAAAAGATCTACTTTCTGTTTTAGTGGAAGTCAAACACATTTTAGTTGCAATCGGATTACTCTGTGTAATTTATACTTGTTCAGGAATTTGTATTTTTAGTTTTGAAACTCACTGAACTCTGAATGTTTTTAGCCAAGGGCTCAAATAGATTGGCCTTGTTGTTTACCAATGAAATGATACGTAGCTTGCCTAAGAAATTATAATACATTCTAGGGCTCTGTGAGTTTTTTTACGTTTTGAGTTATAGTTTGTTTATTTTTTAACTGTATTAGTTTATTTTATAATGGTTTATATTTGTACTATAAACGGATTTACTTAATTTTTACGGACATACGAATTTTGAATCGTATTTTCTGAGCAATATACACAGGAGTATTGTTTTGCCTGTAAAATAGCAATGAAAGTGTAATTTAATATTTGTTCAGTATGGTTGTTTGTTGATTGGCAGAACAGACAAGGAATGTATTTATTTAACAAAAGATCGCCTACCTATTAAAATGTACAGAAATTCAATAATATCTTTTATTTTTCTCCATTATTTATTAGGCATCCTCAATCTCAATTTGTGACATTCTTTGTAGCATAATGGATAAACTACTTCGATTAAATTATATCTAGGGATGTGCTTTATATTTTTTGTTATTTAAAAATATTAAAAAGAAAACTGATTTTTTTACAGATGCACTTTATATAATTTTGCATTATCTTAGAAAAATAAAAGACAAATTGATAAAACATTTTTTTATTAGAGGCACATTCAAAAAGACGGAGCACGCCTTCATACATAAATTATTTACATTGTTACTACGAGTGCTTCTACATACCGCATACGACGAATGGTGACTAGGTTACAACAAACCGCGCGAACTAAGGAATGTGTCTCGAGCTACACTATCTCGTAAATAAACTGAAGTGTCGCTTATGAAAAATGTAGAACAATAAGATTCTAGGTATAAAACATATTTGAGAAGATAAAATTAAAAGTAGTAGTAAGTATGCACAAGTTGAAAAAAATGCATTTCACTGCAATGTTGCAATAATTTCCGCCATTTTTCATAAACCACTACAAAAACTTAAAATAAAAATAATTCTACTTTGTAAAACTTGATCTAAATGGCTTAAAACAATTAAAATAGAGTGCTCAATAATATTATTATGCTTATAAATATTAAAATTACGCTTACCAAGCTCAATCACATAATTAACAATATTCGCAGTGTTGCAAGTGTAAAAATCACCCAAATGTTAGTTCGGTGTTGCCAGCTACGCTAATAAAATGTGAATAAAGTTACAAATCGACGGATCATCGCACTTATCGTAAGCTTAACGTAATCTAGCCCTTTCTCACAACCCTACGCAAAAATTGATTCTATACAAATAAAATATAATTCAGTTAACTGATCGATTTTATCCTTGAATGCAAATAAATATAGCAAATTAATAAACGATGTATATAAATTGTAAACTTTCATTATGTATCGCTTTCGTATTGGTTTCACATCAGAGATTATTGTTCTGTATTCCTAATTAATTCAAAGATCGTTCTATAAAAATTCGTGACGCAAAAGTTGTACTTTTGCTGGTTAATAATTGTACTTTTATTTAGTAATACAACTAGAAGGAGCAACGATACAAAAGTTCGATAATTTCAGATACATTTTGTTTAAAACACGATTATAAAAATTGTTAGGCTCAATTATTTTTGTAACCTATCAATAATGTGCACAAATATAAGTGCAGTTATAAAAGTTAATATGATTATAAACAAAAAAGTCAATATAGGTAAGAATATTGTACTTTGTATTTTGTAATTGAACAAAAATGCTGAAATACTTTATTCGATTTCAAGTTATCTTCGTGTTTTATCAAAAAGATGTTACACGGTTGCACGTTTTCTTTACACTTTAGTTAGGCATAGTTCCACCAGCGGAGCTACTCACACAATAATGTTCATGATTTTTCATAAAAATAAAATCATACCAATTGTTCGATATGAGCTGCAGCGAAAGGTAGTCTATCCTTTGGACAGGGTAAGTAGCTTCGTATGGATAACCTGTTTCTCGTTCCCATCATTCAACCTAAGTTGATTTAGTTTAGAACATGTATGAAAACAGAGATGGGATCAAAAATCCAAAACGAAGCTCAAAACACGATGCAATCTCAACCATCACATTGAAGTCTGATTAGTTTTTACTTTGAATATTTGGACCAATAACAAGTCACATGCCCGTTTTCACCATCAATCCCAAATTTTTAAGTGACCCCTATGGTAACATTATAACACCAATTTTTTTTTCATATGGGTCACTTAAAAATTAGGGCTTGTTGGTGAAAATGGGCATCAATGTATGATTGAATCGAGTTTTGACCTTCGTTTTCAAACTTAAAGCAGACAAGACAAGAAACTGTAGTTTTTGTTTTTGTTTCGTTCTCGCCATCAACTGCTGGTGTTTACACGTGAGTTGCAAATTCTATTTTCCAGTTAATCGACGAGCCACTGCACGAGTGCAGTGTTTCTAATACGGACTTAAAACAGACAAGACAAGAAACTTTAATTTTTGTTCCGTTCGCCATCAACTGCTGGTGTTTACACGTGAGCTCCAGATTCTATTTTTCGCCTAATCGACGAGCCACTGCATGAGTGCGGTGTTTCTAATACGGACTTAAAACAGACAGGACAAGAAACTTTAATTTTTGTTTCGTTCGCCATCAACTGCTGGTGTTTACACGTGAGCTCCAAATTCTATTTCCCAGTTAATCGACGAGCCACTGCATCAAGGCCGTGTCTAGTCCTCCAGCGGTCAGCAGCCTGGAGTCATCGGGCAGGAACCTGGCAGCGGTGACGTGCGAGCTGTGGCCCCCGTAGGCGTGTGACAGGGAGGCCTAATACGGACTTAAAACAGACAAGACAAGAAACTGTAGTTTTTTGTTTTTGTATCGTTCTCGCCATCAACTGCTGGTGTTTACACGTGAGTTGGAAATTCGAATATTTTTCGCCTAATCGACGAGCCACTGCACGAGTGCAGTGTTTCTAATACGCACTTAAAAAAGACAAGACAAGAAACTTTAATTTTTGTTCCGTTCGCCATCAACTGCTGGTGTTTACACGTGAGCTCCAGATTCTATTTTTCGCCTAATCGACGAGCCACTGCATCAAGGCCGTGTCTAGTCCTCCAGCGGTCAGCAGCCTGGAGTCATCGGGTAAGAACCTGGCCGCGGTGACGTGCGAGCTGTGGCCTCCGTAGGCGTGTGACAGGGAGGCCTAATACGGACTTAAAAAAGACAAGACAAGCAACTTTAATTTTTGTTTCGTTCGCCATCAACTGCTGGTGTTTACACGTGAGTTGCAGATACTAATTGTTACTTAATCGACGAGCCACTGCATCAAGGCCGTGTCTAGTCCTCCAGCGGTCAGCAGCCTGGAGTCATCGGGCAGGAACCTGGCAGCGGTGACGTGCGAGCTGTGGCCTCCGTAGACGTGCGACAGGGAGGCCTAATACGGACTTAAAACAGACAAGACAAGCAACTTTAATTTTTGTTTCGTTCGCCATCAACTGCTGGTGTTTACACGTGAGCTCCAGATTCTATTTTCCAGTTAATCGACGAGCCACTGCATCAGGGCCGTGTCTAGTCCTCCAGCGGTCAACAGCCTGGAGTCATCGGGCAGGAACCTGGCAGCGGGAAACTTTAATTTTTGTTTCGTTCGCCATCAACTGCTGGTGTTTACACGTGAGTTGCAGTAACTGGAAAAATGAGTTAATCGACGAGCCACTGCACGAGAGCGGTGTTTCTAATGCGGACTTAAAAAAGACAAGACAAGAAACTGTAGTTTTTGTTTTTGTTTTGTTCGCCATCTGGTGTTTACACGTGAGCTGCAGATTCCATTATTTTTCGCCTAATCGACGAGCCACTGCATCAAGGCCGTATCTAGCCGTGGGCGTGCGACAGGGAGGCCTAATACGGACTTAAAAAAGACAAGACAAGAAACTTTAATTTTTGTTTCGTTCGCCATCAACTGCTGGTGTTTACACGTGAGCTCCAGATTCTATTTCTCGCCTAATCGACGAGCCACTGCATCAAGGCCGTGTCTAGTCCTCCAGCGGTCAACAGCCTGGAGTCATCGGGTAAGAACCTGGCCGCGGTGACGTGCGAGCTGTGGCCTCCGTACGCGTGCGAGAGAGACCGCGGCTGCGGCGCGGGATATGCGAACAGCTTCACTTTGCCGAAGTCGTCGCCGGTCGCTGCTAGGCGGCCGTCGTGTGACCTGAGGTGATACGATACAGTTAGAACATTAGTATTTATCTATACTTATAATAAATCTGTCAATTCTGTACATGAAATTTACAGAATTGACAGATTTATAAAATAACGTATTTTCTAAATTTATATTTTCAAATATAAATTTATAAATTTATATTTTCAAAATAACTATCAGGGGGTGATTAGTGATCAACACTGATGCCAAAAATGCAATCAGTAAAATTTTTGTCTGTCTGTCTGTCTGTCTGTCTGTCCGTCTGTATGTTCCTTATAGAAACAAAAACTACTCGACGGATTTTAACGAAACTTGGTACAATTATTCTTCATACTCCTGGGCAGGTTATAGTATACTTAGGAATTCCCACGGGAACAGGAATTAGCGGGAAAATCCTTTTGTATGAAAATTCTAAACCACTTAAGTTAGACGCTTGAAATTTGGCATGCAGGTACCTTAGTAAACTTAAAGCTTAGTTACAACAGGATATTGCAAAATTCCCACGGGAACGGGAGTTAGCGGGAAAAAACATTTGTATGAAAAAATCTAAACCGCGTAAGATAGATGAAGGGGGTAAAACGGGATCCACGCGTACGAAGTCGCGGGCGGCCGCTAGTTTAGCATAAAACAGATTATTAGTAAAGCCCGGTCTGTGAGCACGTAGAATTTTGTCCAATGACCGTAATTATATTGCTGTCGCGACTGCGTGCGACGGGCGCCCGCAGTGAGTGTGCGAGCGCGACAGCAACATTATTACGCGCGAGCGATAAGGATGAGTAGCTTGGGGTCATTGGTCAAAATTCTACGTGCTCACAGACCAGACTATAGCAGTGAACGAGAAAATACCGTCTCCCAAGAATTGCAGGAGACTTGCAAACCTCCTTTGTCCTGCCAAGCTAAGATTCCAACTTGCATTTAAGTGTGAAATCGCATAGAGCTACCGAGATGATGATGGACTATCCTTCCATTGTCTTCATGTGTTTCACGCGAGCAGAAACTTCAAATTCAGCTATCAGAGTCATTAGGACTCTGCCAAAATCCTAGTTCTCTAGGCTAGCTTTTAATAACAGTGTCAATGGCTCCCTTCCACTTTCTTATAACCCGATTGAGCTAACTGCGCATCTCGCTGGAATGCGACTCCCTCGCATTCACCCACACACCTCTCTGCGTTCGCCCCGTCCGTAGCAGAGCGTCAACGTGACGTCACGGCTGCCAGTACCTCTAGTACGAAAAACTTTCGAGTTCGTTTCGTTGCGTATTCAAAGTGTCATCGAAAAATTTTGTATGAAAAATTAAACAGCGCCCCCTAGGGCGGCTATAATATAGGGGGCGCTGTTTAATTTTTCATACAAAATTTTTCGATGACACTTTGAATACGCAACGAAACGAACTTGAAAGTTTTTCCTACTAGAGGTACAGGTTGCCAGTTTACTCGACCGGGTTGTACTTCCCTCTTTGTTTGAGCATTAAAATAAACTTTCAGCTTGTGAGCTAAGTGTGAGTTTACATGTGAGCTAGTGAGCGCGTTTAAAAAATGTATGAAAATTTTAGTTTTTGAAGGTTTCCCGCTAGGGGCGCTGTACAATCCGTCATACATTTACGCTGGGCTGCACCATCTTATAGTTCCAAAATACTGAACTGTCCTATCCATGACATTGACAGTGGGGCGCCACCGTCAATACCGGATCGCTGGTTCCGATTTTTGCCATGTTGGAAACCATATAGTTGAACGATGGTAACGCCCCCCTGTCATTGAGTTTGGTGGGACAGTTCAGCGTGGGTCATCTATACTTTAACTTTGACAAACGTCAAAAATCTGTCAAAATCCATACAAAAAGCACCGGTTATCGTCAAAGTTACGGTCAAAGTTAGGTGGTGCAACTCAGCCTTAATGTTATTTTTTGACGCGCTCACTTAAGAGCGTTTACGTCTAGCGTGGCATGTCAAGTTTAGGTAATTTCGATGCTAGTTTTATTCACACTAAAATAATTATGACTGTGTGCGTGTTCTCACGCTCTATAGTCAAACCAAAATACTTTGATCCACCATCGTAAAAGTATGCCAGGCTGTCAAGTGACAGCTCAAGGAAACTTTAAAATCTTCAAATCTTCCAACACCGACTCCATAATTATAAATAATGGTATACATTAGTCCTAATCAATAATAAATACGTAAATTCTTTATCAAATAGTAAATTATCAAAGGTTTTTTACTATTTTGAGAATATTTTATACAGCCTATCGGCTGAACCATTTAAGAACCTAGTAAGGGACACTTTTCCAGATTTTCGTTTTTTGTCATAAATCACCTTAGAATTAAGGTCTCCACAGGATGTGAAGACAGAAATCGCTCTATTACACTTACACCGGAGAAACGCGTTGCTAAAAACCTAGTAAGTGCAATTCAAATCTGCAAAAACCATTATCAAAACCTAGCAAGTTACAATGACCATTTAAAACCTAGTAAGTGCATGGACTTACTAGGTTTCAAAATGGTCAATGTGACTTACTAGAGGTAAAATGCTACTGTAATTGAAATATTATTTCGAGTTCTGTTGGCTGACACTCGATAACCATATCAAAATCTGGGGACTACATGAGTACTGATTCCTATTCGATTTTTATTTTGATTTTTACGAGGCACTTTTGTCAAAAAAATAATTTTTAGTGTTAGTAAAGAGCATAAAACTTGCAATTTTTAACTAAATATATTCTTTTATTCCATAAAGTATACTTTAGTAACTAATCTTTAATATAAACATCGGAAGTTATCCAAATCTTTAAGCATCTTAGCAGGGCAAATGCGGATACACTATAAAAGTCCAGCTACCTGTCAAAGATCAACGTACGCATGACACATGTCAGCAGAGCACCGAGCGACGTGACCTCACTCTAGAACGCCTCGAGGCGGACTGAATTTGAACGATTCGTGCGCGGCGATTTATAGTAGTTTTCAAATACTCATAGAAAAAAAATTACAATGAATTATTTTAAATTTCAAAGTAAATATTTTAGATAAGATATTCTTCTATTATATTAAGCTATTTTTGTGTTGAATAAAGGAAGAATATTGGTGAAAAAATCACTTTGATTTTTGCGTATTTCACGTTCTTTTAATTTGTGATTTCTTAGTGTAAAATGCTTAAATCTAAAAATTTTCTCAGATAACTATTTGCCTAAGGATCTATGCTATAGGATATATATGTTTGTTAAATCGTTTTCACAGTGTTTTTATAAAAATTTCAGCTTGTAAACTGACGCTAAAGTGGAAATTTACAAAACCTGTGTGGACTTATCTGGATAGAATTCTTAAATGCTAAACTAATCGCAATATTTTCTCAATTAACTATTTAGACGACGAAATTGTCTAACTATTTATGCCTATAACATATTTGTAGTATTACTGGTTAATGATTGTAACGAGTTGAAAAAGTACTGTTTTTGCGCCAAACGGCGTAAACGCTCTTAAAAAAAACTCACACTCAGCCCTCTTATGAAGCAAGATTCCCCGTTGTCCAAACAATATAACATTCACCTGGTGCAAGTATTGATATCCGTCCCGTCAGCGTTCTCGGGCCACACGCCGACGGTGGTGAATGTGATGGGGCAGGAGTTGGAAGCCCACGCCACGTCACGCATCGACGACGCCGACGTCACCTGCCGGCACGTCGTCGCGTTCCCTGCAATTTGGCAATAAGGCATAAGTAATAGAAGGCATATTAGTCGGCCGTTTGGTGTAGTGGTTCGAAACGGACTACTATTGCGGTTGCGGTTGCTACAGAGGTTGCGGGTTCGATTCCCGCACAGTACAAACATTTGTGTGCATGAACATATTTGTTTGTATTGGACTGGGTGTTTTCTATGTATAATATGTATTTACAAAAAAAAATTAAGTGTGTTTATATCTGTTGTCTAGTACCCATAGTATATACAAGCTTTGCTTAGTTTGGGACTAGAAGCGCAGTGTAAAATATCCAAGGATATTTTTTTTTATTATTATTTATAAGTATTAAATAAACCAACTATAAGTCTGTTAAGGCACAAATTATTAAAAGCATACTAAATTCTGACCCTAAAACCTAATGAATGTGAATTTAGATTTTTACCCGAATTGATATTGGTAAATAAGCTTACATAAGTTGGTCTCCACTGCAAAATGACCTTTAATTTACCAGAGGCATATGGAGGAGTTGACTTACACTCCTTTCGCTAGCTAGACAAAAATTGTATTGCAGTTTGCAGTACAAGATATATGTAGGAAGAGTAGGTATGTATGTAAGTATGACAACTCTTATAAAAGTATGTCAGTAGATTGGAGAAGTCCCAAGAGGTCATCATCATCATCTCAGCCATAGGACGTCCACTGCTGAACATAGGCCTCCTCCAATGCTTTTTATGTTGCCCGGTTGGTGCTACAGAATAATAAAATTGATGTCTTACACACGACGCGTTTCAAATATTAATTGATAAGAAATTAATACTGCATTTTGTACATGAAACTTACAAAACAGTAGTTCATAGTCCCCTGAGTTGCTCCTTATGTACTGGCTGTCTTCCGACCAGTCTAGGTGAGTGATGTAGCTGGAGTGACCCTGCAATACCAAACAGACTCATTAAAACTCAAGCACCACTCGACTTTATGTAATTTGTCATGCTAATTTTATTTATGAAAGCTAAAGATTATAAAAATACATTAGCTACTTGATAATTACAGTGACTCTACATATTCCTTATTTGAATATAAATAAATGAGACACGGAGAATCTACTACACTAAATCTATCTATAGAAGAAGCCTATTTAAGCATCGCAATAGGCGTAGCTTATCTTCTAAACTAAATACAACATTTACATACCTACAATTTTCTTTAGCATTACCTTTACACAATTTATAATAATAATTATACTTGAATGTATAGAAATAGCATTTAAAATGTACAGGCAGGCGATACCAAAATTAAAATATATTGTTACCCTTCTACGTTTTCTCTCCGTGCACTGATGCGTGAAATTATGGAATGATTAGAACATGAAAAAATGATTACATGGGAACACCATACATAAATAGGATGAATTAATAACAGTAGTATTACAACCGATATAGCCTGAAAATAATATAAAAAGCTAGTACAATATTTTTACTTATAGATAGCCAATATTAAATAGAAACGTATTTTATTGCTATGAATGAATGGTTTGTTTAATAACTATGTATGGTTATTGTTCAGATATTCAAAGTAGAAGATTGGCCTACCAAAGGTATCAACCATAGAGAAGAATTGGTCAACCAAAGGATAAAATATAGACTCACCTCAGAGGAGTTAGTTAATTAGTAAGAGGGAGATTGGCCAACTATAGAATAAAAATTAACTAATTCAAGGCGTAGGTCGGTCAACCTAAGGGGAAGAGTGGTCAAACAAAAAAGAAGATTAGTCAACCAAAGAGGCCAACTAAACTAAGATTTGACCATAATCCCCACGCTTGGCAGGCGGGTTGGAGATCGCAGTTTAAAAGATTGATGTTTTTCAGAGAGCGCTGCTGCTCATTCTCTGTTTGATGTGTAGTCCCTAAGTCGGGCTTAGGGCTATAGTTTGGTCCGAGCACGTAAAATTTTGTCCAATGACCCCTAGCTACCCATCGCTCGCGCGTAATTATATTGCTGTCGCGACTGTGCGACTAGCACCCGCAGTGAGTGTGCGAGCGCGATAGCAACATAATTACGCGCGAGCGATAAGGATGGGTAGCTAGGGGTCATTGGACAAAATTCTACGTGCTCACGGACCGGACTTTATCTTTTATTATTTTTTACGTTCATGTTTTTTTTATGCAAAACAAGGCAGGTATTTGTGGTGTTAATATTTTTGATTAGATTCTCACCAGGCACTTGCCGACGCGGCTGTAGCGCGCGCCGGCGTCGTCAACGCGGTAGACGTAGATGAAGTTGTCGCGCGAGCCCAGCGCCACCAGCCGGTTGTCCGGCGAGTATTGGATCGTCTGGATCGGCTCCGTGCTGCAACCAAATGAAATTAAATAGTTTATTCATTACATAGGCCCTTTCGAGGGCACTTATATACGTCACGAATATATACAGGGTGGAATTTTGTAACGCCACCTGGAGGGCAAGTAGGTACTCTTAATATTGTAGATAGAAAAAAATTCTCAAAGAAAACGTTCCTTTATTTTTGAAAAGAAATAGAACTGCATTCAAAGATTTCCAAAAATTTGCTTGCCACACCCGGGAATCGAACCAACAAAAATCTGTTAAAAATTACACCCTGTATTTTTATTGCATCGATCGTTAGGGTCAATAAGAAATCCATAAAATCCTAAATTATTTTAATTATTTACAGAAAATTGTATGGCATGGTAGTGAATTTTCGAAAAAAAATCGAAATTCTATGAATGCAGTTCTCTTTCTTTTCAAAAATAAAGGAATGTCTTCTTTTGTAAAATTTTCTATCTGCAGCATTAAGAGTACTTTCCCTCCAGATGGCAATACAAAATTCCACCCTGTATAGCTTGCCCTACCACCACACCCACAAGGTGGACCGACGACTTTATAAAAGCAAGAAGGCGCTGGACGCAGGCCGCTACCAACCGGCCTTTGTGGGAATCATTGGAGGAGGCCTATGTTTAGCAGTGGACGTCCTATAATGATGATGATGAGAAATTGCTGAGCCTGATGCTAATGACGATCCTGATGACGTCACACAACACTCACCCGTCATGGTGGCTGGCGAGCATCTCGCGCGAGTGCGGGTCGAACACCATCCAGCGTCCTGACAGAGCGCCCACCGCGATCACATGATGACGTCACACGACACTCACCCGTCATGGTGGCTGGCGAGCATCTCGCGCGAGTGCGGGTCGAACACCATCCAGCGTCCTGACAGAGCGCCCACCGCGATCACATGATGACGTCACACGACACTCACCCGTCATGGTGGCTGGCGAGCATCTCGCGCGAGTGCGGGTCGAACACCATCCAGCGTCCTGACAGAGCGCCCACCGCGATCACATGATGACGTCACACGACACTCACCCGTCATGGTGGCTGGCGAGCATCTCGCGCGAGTGCGGGTCGAACACCATCCAGCGTCCTGACAGAGCGCCCACCGCGATCACATGATGACGTCACACGACACTCACCCGTCATGGTGGCTGGCGAGCATCTCGCGCGAGTGCGGGTCGAACACCATCCAGCGTCCTGACAGAGCGCCCACCGCGATCACATGATGACGTCACACGACACTCACCCGTCATGGTGGCTGGCGAGCATCTCGCGCGAGTGCGGGTCGAACACCATCCAGCGTCCTGACAGAGCGCCCACCGCGATCACATGATGACGTCACACGACACTCACCCGTCATGGTGGCTGGCGAGCATCTCGCGCGAGTGCGGGTCGAACACCATCCAGCGTCCTGACAGAGCGCCCACCGCGATCACATGATGACGTCACACGACACTCACCCGTCATGGTGGCTGGCGAGCATCTCGCGCGAGTGCGGGTCGAACACCATCCAGCGTCCTGACAGAGCGCCCACCGCGATCACACGATGACGTCACACGACACTCACCCGTCATGGTGGCTAGCAAGCATTTCGCGCGAGTGCGGGTCGAACACCATCCAGCGTCCTGACAGAGCACCCACCGCGATCACGCCGCCGTCTGCCGACCAAGCGCAGCATTGCGCACGCTCCTGGAAAGATGGTTATTAAGTTAAATAGAAAGTCAATAAATAAACGGGAATATTCCCATCGGTTATTTGCACTTCTCCCCGCCTCGTCTTCCTGGCTATTTGTCGGTTGCGCGCGAGTTCTACGCACGTTGTATCAACACAGCGTGTGTTCAGATTTGTATGTAGCATGTTAATGTCACTGCTCCGACGTCACAGCAGTGCTAACTCAACACATTGTCAACGCTTATTTAAGTGGCATCTTTGTTGGGGCCTATTTCCACTTTGGCGGACCGTTTTCCGCTTTCTTAGTCCGTCTAACTAAAGAGACCAAGGGACCAGTGGCAGTACAAGTATAACACAGTCCCCTGCACGAGTTACAATCAAGACATCTTAAGGCGTAAAACATCCGCCCACAACAATTCGCACTTCTGACGACGACGACCACTCTGTCACAAGTGTAACCACTGAGAAGATGATAATACATAATTTTATGCATGTCCTGGCAACCTTTAATTGGGTAAGTGTCAAACTGCGTCAAGTACTTTGACAGCATATTTGAACTAACGGCACTATTCCCACCTCTTGTGTTCCCACTGCTGTCTCCTGTATAGTCAGGATCTAACCTTGACCGCCAATAAAAACCCAACCAGTGAAGGTCAAGTTTGTCCCGGGGGAAAGTTACACTTGAACTGCCCATTAAATGCTACTGACCTCGATGTCCTTGCTCCAAACTGTAGAGTGGCTGAGCCCGTCCCACAGCTGCAGTAAGCGATCCCAGCCGGCTGATACAAACTGCGCCAGGGTCGGGTGCGTCGCTAATCCCCATACCTCGTCCACGTGACCTGTGACGTCATCATTATCAGCATCGTAATTTTAGCCAATGGCAGTCCATATTTTAGCTATTGGCAGTCCATTACTCGTAGGTTGTATAAGCATTCCTCGAGGAAAGCCACAACACATAATTTCCCGCGTTTTTTATTGGAAAACTGGCACTCTTAGCTAAGGGTGGGTTGCACCATCTTACTTTTACTTTGACAAACGTCAAAAATCTGTCAAACTCCATACAAAATGCACCGGTTATCGTTATAGTTACCGTTAAAGTTAGGCGGTGCAACTCAGCCAAAATGTTCTTCATGACAGTTTTTAATAAACTGAAGATGATGATTAAGAGAAAAAAAAATGCTGTTTTGCTAAAAGCTTTCCAAGTACCTAATTGAATTTAATTTCAAAGTTTATTTATTAAACAGATAAAATCATATTCGTAGTTGACCACATTCAGATTAAAATCTATTATTAATATAATGATTATAGTATACCTAATCAAATTTCAACACTTTTAAACAGTTGGAAATTCCTGAACAATCATATTATACTCTTATACCAGAGTTAATGCAAATGAGTAGGTCATCTTCATAGAAACGCCCGAGCGCGGTTTGTATGTGAGCGCGCCAATACGTATGCGGCGCGCACGCACACTCTGACAAAATTCAGTGCACCTCCCCGCTAATCCCCGCTAAATTGCGTGCGCGCCGCTTGGTGGCTTGGTGTAGTGGTTCAGAACGGACTACTATGCCGAGAGGTTCCGGGTTCGATTCCCGGCCGGGCAGAAATTGAAATGATGAATTTTAATTTCTGTGACGGGTCTGGGTGTTTTCTATGTATAATATGTATGTATTTACAAAAAAAAAGTATATAAGTATGTTTATCCCGTCGTCTAGTACCCATAGTACAAGTTTTGCTTAAGTTTGGGATAGAGGCGCAGTGTAAAATGTCCAAAGATATTTATTATTTATTTATTATTTATTGGCGCGCTCACAAACCGCGCTCGGTGCGTTTCTATGAAGATGACCTACTCATTTGTATTTACTCTGTTTATACTTACCGAGCACGGCGGGCGAGAAGCCAAGCTCCAGGTCTCCGTGCAGCACGCAGTTCTTCGTGCTGCCCACGAACAGCTGGCTGCCGCGGCCTTCCGCCACCACGCGCACGCCGCCGTAGTGTCCTTCGATCTGGAATGTTATTGCGGTCAATGAAATATCTAATGCCTCACTTTCAGTGGTTCTGAATACAAGAGATTCCTGTAAAGCAGTGTTTTTCAACCTTTTTCATGACACGACCCCACTAGTATGAAAAAATATTTGGCGACCCCCCGACCGTTTGTTTTATTTTTTCATGCATTTTATAATGTTACAAAGATGTTTGTAGGGACCGAATACTTCAATCTAAATGCATTTGCATAATTAGATTTCGGATAAATCTGTCTTTATTAACTAATGTTTTTTTTACTGAGGTAGTTTTAACGACCTCTCGCGACCCCCCTATAGAGGCTTCGCCACCCCCCAGGGGGTAGCGACCCGCAGGTTGAAAAACACTGCTGTAAAGCAAGCATGCCATAGCATAACATAGGATCGTCAGGGAACCACTTTCACAAGTCTAAAAATCTACATCAATTTATTAAAATAGTAAGTAATCATACAAAGGGTGACAAGACCTTACTCTACAGTGCCAACACTCAAGTCCTCACTCCTATAGCCTCAGCACTCACCAGCTGACAGCACTTTATTGTCACTAGCGAGTGGAACCTTAGTCTACAGTGTCACTGTTCTAACCTAACCTAACCTACTATTTTCTGCAATACCTACTTTCTGCAACCATACTATTTTCTGCAATCTCTTTGTTTTACATAACTTTCTTGTGAAAACCATGATCATCTGCCTCTGCCTTATGGTTTGATTTGTGGGTAAGTATGTGAAGTGTCGATTTGACCAAACAAATTATTTGGGATATAATATTTGGCAAAATAAAACATTTGCTATATAAACATTTGCCAAGTAAAATTTGGCCAAATGATAATTTGTCCAAATGAATTAGTTGCGAAAAGTACAGTTGCTAAACGTTCATTTGGGAAATGAAACTTTGGCGATAAGTTGTTTGCGAAGTGAAATTTGGCGAAAAGTAATTTGGCCAAACGGAAGGATACCGGTGAGGACAAATACCATAGAAATCATTATCCTAATTTGGCAAGTAGTTGGAAGTATTAAGGCTACTTATGACTAGTTATTTGGGAACAACCGCGGTGCATAGAAAAAGTGCGGGTGTGCGCTAGCTAGTTACGAGTATATTTGACTAACTTACCACATTCTCCACACCGAGGGCATTGACTTCAGCATCGAAGGCGACTATTCGCCCGTCCTTGCCTCCTCCGCTCAGAATTCGACCGTCCTGAATACAGCAAACAACATTACTATTGTAGAAATGTTACCGAGATTAAATTGATGACTAAGAATTAGTAATAAACATTGACATAGGAATATTGGGTTTTCCAAAGAATTCCCTTCCCCTCTCCGCCTCCCACCATAAAGTTGTTTTTTGGACGCCTTAATGCCCAAGAACCAAGGTGTGAATTTACCAACTCCGTCTTGCACACACCTCGGATGAAATGGTAATATTAGGTTAGGAGTTACATCGAATATAGCTTCTCCAATGGGGAACTCGTACATTACTTGTGCTTTATATTCCTACTCCAACCAACCCAGATTACTCCAAAAGTGTAGCAGGCTGTAGGCCTAGGGTAAAATAGGCGCAAGTACACGGAAAGTAGGAAATGGATCGAGAGAAAGAGCGACTCCACACACCGAAGTATGGGCGACGAAACTAACCGATGTTCGTGTTTACACGATGCGTCTCTCTCTATCAATTTTCCGCATAGTGTACTGGCGCCACTATATGTATAAGATTCAAAATAAATGATTACCTTGAGACAGCAGATGGAGAAGATGGCGCCTTCATGCACGCCACGCACGAGCTTAGCCACGGTGTTAGTACCGCGCCCCCACACAATGATGTTGCCGTTCGAGTCGCCCGACAGCACGTCGCCTGACATACAAAATTAATTCAATTACTTATATTCAAATTTATATTTTAGTATGGTGAATTCAATAATCCATTCATAGAATCAGTTTTCGGCAAAGCGAAAAGAAGGGCTTACAGATCGTGGTGTAAGGTTAATGTTAATAAAAGTAAAGCCTGGTCCGTGAGCACGTAGAATCCCGTCCAATGACCTGTCGCGCTCGCACACTCACTGCGGGCGCGCGTCGCACAGTCGCCACAGCAACATAATTACGCGCGAGCGATAGGGATGGGTAGCTTGGGGTCATTGGACGGGATTCTACGTGCTCACGGACCAGGCTTTAGTTGTAAAGAATTGGGACGTATAGTAGATGCTCTTTTAAAAACAAATATTTTCTTTTCCAATGTGTAAACTCAAATTCTTAATTAATACATGGTGTTGACGAGCTGGTTTCTACCCAACAACTTTTAGGGTAAAGATCTGATTTACCCCTTGGATGAGACAGCGCAGCGCCCCTTCTCCTTAACCAGAATTGAATTACAACCCGGTGGAGTTACAAACTGGTAGCACATGGTAGCCGTGACGTCACGTCGACGCTTTGGTGACGACGACGCGGCGAACGCGGAGAGGTTTATGGGTGATTGTGAGAGTCGCATTCCATCGAGGTGTGCGGTTAGCTCGATCAGAGGAAAAAATATATGAAGATTTTAGTTCATGAAAGTTTCTGCTAGGGGCGCTATTATACAATCCATCATACATTTAATGCCACGTTTTTACGCAGTCGACATCGAATGCGTTTGATGTAAACTCACACTACGCCCTCAGGTTGTACATGGTACCACAGAATAATAATAAGTAGGTACTACGTACAGAAGTTTTGCTTCGCGAAGGTATTTAAAAAAATGTATGCTCAATGTCATTAACAATATGGTGTAATTTAGCTTGTCTCAAGAGTCAAGCAAGTTTGTCAGAAGTTTTGTTGACAAACGTCAGTGATCGGTACTGCGCCGAAGCTATAGGGCTGACTTCGGTAAAATGATGTGACGTGAGGTGCCAATCTGCAGAAAATGGCGGAGGAAATACATGATTTAGCATGAATTATCATGAATAATATTAACTACTTATTTACCTCTCAGTGTCTTCAGGCAACTTAAAAAAGTACATTCTGTGTTTTTATTATTATTTAGGCAGTTAAATACTGCACAGTATTTAGTACACCATTTTCTTTATTTTTTTCCATCATACACAAGAATACGCGTGCGTGTGTTCGCTCGTATGTGAGGCCTTGTCGAATAGTACTCTTGTAGGGGGCAATCGTGCGTGTTTTGTTTTCGATGTAAACTCGCGGAGATGAACAGGCCTGATGGTACTCACCGCTCTGGTTGAAGCCGAGGCACGTGACGTACTTGGGCTTGTCGCGCGAGTCGAACACGCCGAGCCGCTTGTACAGCATGTTGGTGTGGTCCAGCGTCCAGAACGCGATGTGGTTCTTGCCGCACGTCACGATCTGGTTGCGGTCTAGCGGGTGGAACTCCACCGCTACTACTGTGTCCACGGAGCACTGAGGAAGATGAGATGATAACATTAAAATTGGTGGGGTTAGATCTCTTTATATGCGGACGAGCTGGAACCTGAATAGGCATGAGTGGAAACGAGCGAAAGAAATCAGAAGACTTGAAAAGGCTCGAGGGCTCAGAAGACTCGAAAGGATTCAGGAGACTCGAAAGCACTCAGAAGACTCGAAAGGACTCAAGACTCAAAGGATTCGCACTCATGTGCCTAACGAGTCCTAGTTCCCTTCATTTATCATCGCTGAACCGTCGCTATTGTAGAGGTAATTCACAAAATACACAGAAGACGCTGTACTGTTATTAAGCAACACTGTGTCAGCGGCTTTGAATGAGAACTGGTCATGCCTTGGAGTTCCTGGACCTCGCCAAAGCCTTCGACACCGTGTCCATATACCTACCATTTATTTTACAAAAGCTGAACTGTTTAGGTATCAGAGGAATACCTTATGAATGGTATTGTAGCTATCTTTCGGAACGCTCGCAGTGCATTCGGGTTTACACGGACTTCAGTGATTTTCTCCCGGTAGAATTGGGTGTTCCTCAAGGAAGCATCTTAGGGCCGGCGTTATTTATAATTTATGTAAGCGACCTATTGCACCTTCCTTTAGACAAAGCTGACATTATGTGTTACGCTGATGATAATGGTAATGGTACCTTGGTCTCAGCCAAGCAGTGTCTATAGTGGATACTGAATTCCACACGCGGACGTGAAAGACGAGTGGGTTCATTACAATAGTCGAGCAACAACGGGGATATAACTCGCGTTCATCGCTTCAAGAGTGGACCAGCGAAAGAAATCAGAAGACTCGAAAAGACTTAGAGGGCTCAGAAGACACAAAAGGATTCAGAAGTCTCAAAAGGAGTCGGAAGACTCGAAGACTCAGATGACTCAAAGGATTCGGACTCATGTGACTAACGAGTCCTAGTTCCCTTCATTTATCATCGCTGAACCGTCGCTATTGTAGAGGTAATTCACAAAATCCATAGAAGACGCTGTACTGTTATTAAGCAACACGGTGTCTGCGGCTTTGGATGAGAACTGGTCATGCCTTGGGGTGTTCCTGGACCTCGCCATAGCCTTCGACACCGTGTCCATACATCAATTCTTTTACAAAAGCTGAACTATTTAGGCATCGGGGGAATACCTTATGACTGGTTTTGTAGCTATCTTTCGGAGCGCTCGCAGTGCATTCGGGTTGGCACGGACTTCAGTGATTTTCTCCCGGCAGAATTCGGTGTTCCTCAAGGAAGCATCTTAGGGCCGGTGTTATTTATAATTTACATGAGCGACGTCCTGGACCTTCCTTTAGACAAAGCTGACATTATATGCTACGCTAATGATGATGGTAACGGTACCTTGGTCTCGGCCAGGCAGTGTCCCTTATCCGGCCGCTGCCACTCCCACACGGAGATGGAGTGGTCGGGCCCGTCGTCCACGCAGGCCAGCAGCGCGCCGCCGTCCGCGCGCGAGAACGACAGGCACGCCGCCGCGCGCTCCAGCTGCCCCGCGCCCAGCACTGCTACAGTGGCGAGGGATACTGAGCTCCACACGCGGACGTGAGAGACGAGTGGGTTCGCCACAATAGTCAAGCGAGAGGATCAAACTCGCGTTCCTCGCTTCAAGAGTCGGCCAGCGAAAGAACTCAGAAGACTCGTAAAGACGTAGAGGCAAGACAAGTGGCTAGGGATACTGAGCTCCACACGCGGACGTGAGTTATGAGTGGGTTCAGCACAATAGTCAAGCGAGAGTGGGGATCTGACTTGAATTCCTCGCTTCAAGAGTCAGCCAGCGAAAGAACTCAGAAGACTCGTAAAGACGTAGAGGCAAGACAAGTGGCTAGAGATACTGAGCTCCATACTCGGACGTGAGTTAGGAGTGTGTTCACCACAATAGTCGAGCGACAGTGGGGATCTAACTCGCGTTCCTCGCTTCAAGAGTCGGCCAGCGAAGTAACTCAGAAGACTGGAAAAGACTTAGAGGGCTCAGAAGACTCGAACGTACCCAGAAGACTTGAATGGACTCAGATGACTCGAAGAGACTCAGATGACTCAAAGGATTCGGACTCATGTGACTAACGAGTCCTAGTTCCCTTCATTTATCATCGCTGAACCGTCGCTATTGTAGAGGTAATTTACAAAATCCACAGAAGACGCTGTACTGTTATTAAGCAACACGGTGTCTGCGGCTTTGTATGAGAACAGATCATGCCTTGGGGTGTTCCTGGACCTCGCCAAAGCCTTCGACACGATGTCCATACACCAATTCTTTTACAAAAGCTGAACTGTTTAGGCGAGGGAATACCTTGTGACTGGTTTTGTAGCTATCTTTCGGAGCGCTCGCAGTGCATTCGGGTTGACACGGACTTCAGTGATTTTCTCCCTGTAGAATTCGGTGTTCCTCAAGGAAGCATCTTAGGGCCGGCGTTATTTATAATTTACATAAGCGACCTCCTGGACCTTCCTTTAGACAAAGCTGACATTATGTGTTACGCTGATGATGATGGTAACGATACCTTGGTCTCAGCCAAGCAGTGTCCCTTATCCGGCCGCTGCCACTCCCACACGGAGATGGAGTGGTCGGGCCCGTCGTCCACGCAGGCCAGCAGTGCGCCGCCGTCCGCGCGCGAGAATGACAGGCACGCCGCCGCGCGCTCAATCTGCCCCGCGCCCAGCACTGCTAAAGTGGCGAGAGACACTGAGTTCCACACGCGGACGTGAGGCTGGAACATTAAAATAACAATATTAGTATTTAAAGTAATGGTGCAAAGATAAACATTAAGGCGTCGTAGTCCGCGCATCGCTAAAATCAAGTGGCAGTGGGCGGGGCACATAGCTCGGAGAGCTGATGGCCGCTGGGGCAGGAAAGTTCTTGAGTGACGACCACGAGCCGGAAGACGTAGCGTGGGCAGGCCTCCCACTAGGTGGACCGACGATCTGGTGAAGGTCGCGGGAGGTGCCTGGATGCGAGCGGCGCAGGACCGGTCTTTGTGGAAATCCTTGGGGGAAGCCTTTGTCCAGCAGTGGACGTCTTTCGGCTGAAACGAACGAACGAAGTCCGCGCATTAGCTTGTTAGGATAGCTTTATGTCATGTGGGTCATCATGTGGCCCCTGTATTAGCGCTGTTTCTAATAGTGTCAAGGCCAGTCTCTAAGACTATAATGTTGGTGTAAGCGACAAAACGGCTCTATTTGAAAAGAATCATAATAATAATAATAAATACTCTTTATTGCACACCAGATAAAAAGAACAGAAAGAAAAGGAACACACACATAAGGTACAATTAGGCGGTCTTATCGCTATGAAACGATCTCTTCCAGACAACCTATAGAGAATCACCTATAGAGAATCATGTCAACGACTTGTAATTTCTATGACTTTTGACAACATGTAATTATAAACACATTACTACTCCTTTGCGTCGCGCAGCCAGGCACTTGACGTCATCCTTGTGAGCTGTAGAGGTACTGCTTTTAATCGTTTCAGACTCAGTCTTTAAGACTATAATGTTGGTGCAAACAAGCAATATCTTACCCTGGCATCATGACGGTCATCATGGCCCACACACTGGCAACTGGGGTGTATTGCCAGGCACTTGACGTCATCCATGTGGGCGATGTAGATGTAGTGCACTTCTAATTGTGTCAAGCACAGTCTCCAAGACTATAAGGTTGGTGCAAAGAACCACTCTTAAAGAATCTTACCCTGGCGTCATGACGGTCATGGCCCGCGCACTGGCCACTAGCCACAATCAGCTTATTGGGGTGAATGGCCAGGCACTTGACGTCATCAGTGTGACCGGTGTAATGGCGCTGGCACTGCTCGTCCACGTTGAACAGCACCACAACAGCTGCCACGAAGTAGACTATCTCCCCCGTTGGAAGAAGGTAGAGATTGCTGCGGCAGTCTTTGCCTCTGGGGACAGATACAGGATCATTCTTAGAATGTCGTTCGATTGATTGTAGTCCCTTGATTCTGATGTAAGTTTACACTATTACCAGATAATTCTAAATTACAACTATGCAAAAATAACAGAACATTTATGCCCTGATAACCAAATTATTTCTCAATTCATCATCATCATCACAGGTAATTTAGTTTCCACTGACACGACTTTTCCCAATTTATCAAAGATCAATAGATAGGAGGATTTCCCCACGCTGGTCAGACGGGTTAGAGAGGGTGTTTTTTCTCGATTCGCATGATTTTGTTTATTATCTCTTTGATTCGTATATTCCGCAATCGTAAAATACATACAGTACATTTGGAAACTTTAGCGAGTTAATTTCTCATGTGTGACTGTAAGGTTTTTAATGAGAAATAAATGTTCTTTAAACCTAAACCTAATAAATTCAGACCTTCGGATAGTCACAACAGAAGTCTTTAATTTTTACCATGCCCACTTTCACCTTCTACTTTCCAACTAACACACTTCTACGGCCTTCATAAGATAACTAAAATAGTAAAAAAGCTAAATTCTCATCGAGTCCGACGTTTCCTTTCAGTGGCGTGGATGATTGGCCGCGCTGGAGCGAGACCGTGGCCTTGAACGGGGTATTGACTAAGGTTGAATCAAACGGTTACTCTAATTCAGGCTGTTGTTAAGATCTATTGAATTAGTGTTGTTTATTTATATTTGAATCGAACGGCGAATAATAAATCAAAATAAAATTGGGTATAGTGTGGAATTTAGGGTCCTCTACTTAATATTCTTTTAAATGTGTATAGAAACCATAAAATAAAAAGCTTGTAATAAGAAAACGTCCTCCTTTGTGTTATAAGTGCCGTTATCATTGTGCCAACATTTTATCTACAAATTACATCAAGGCGTTGACAACCCTACCTTCACAAGTATCATTTTGCGGAATTCTTTTTGTTTCCGTTAAAACAATGTTAGCAACACAAAACAATAAAATTGTTACTAAGATTTTTGAAGCGTAGTAGGTACCTACCTACTTTAATTACTTCCATCTTGTACTGAAATGTAATTTAATTTTAAATTAAGGGCATCGCATTTCCCTTCAATTCTGAGCATTATTGCAATACATATAAATATATCTCTTATCTACCGTTAGTTTTCCTTCCCATTCTAGTTTTAAACATTGTCACTTTCATACGCATTTAAAGCGACTGTTTCGATCAAATATAAGAGGGTGGTTAGTAAACAAACTTGTATAATTACGTCTATAGGAAAAATAATGAGTCACGCATACTACGCCTTAAAAAATTAACTAGTTTTAGCGTATTCTATTAACACCGTATTAGAGCGTTTCGTTCTAGATTGTTGCGTGTTCCCTTTGTCCGAAAAAGTAACTAGCTTAACGTTTCTGACATAGATCGATAAGGTACTTCCGTAGGTCCTTCCTACCCGCATGCCTAAGTCATTAGTTAACAGAATTGTGTATTTCTGTTACCGATAAACTGTTTTCTAATGAGCAGGTAGACATACATTTTAACTAACATTTACTGACTGCGAACTTCGTACCGCCAATAAAAGTTCTATAGCCTATGTCATGTTCATCAGGGATAATATAGAATTCTAATGGTGAAAGAATTTTCAAAACGGCCAAGTAGTTTCGGACCCTATTCAATACAAACAAACGACCAAATTTTAGTTAAAATGGAACGCGAACGTTTAAAATCTTACAAACCAAATTTTTTCTTTGATTACGTACCTACTGATGTAGATCAATACATAGTTAGGAACCTTTCCGCTTCAACAAGCAAAGTTAGTGTTAGAGAAATTGATCTAAGGTGCGATTAAGATGTCCAGCGAAGAGCTTGGCTGGCCAAGCGTGTAACAGCACGATAGCCTTGGAGCGGCCGAAACAAAGGCACGCTTCTTACGTTACTTATTCCGTGTACAAGTTAAACAAAAGAATCTAAACATATTTATCGAATCTTTATTCATTTTAAACAGTAATAAAAATAATCTGTAAAGGATTTACTTTTATTTGAGAAATAAAAAGACAATACTGCTCTAAAGCGATTTGGGATTTTTTTATGCAGAACAAGGAAGGTACTTGACCGCAATCGCAACTGATTTCAAGTGAGATGCAATCTAGGATGGTACATATCTGCCCTGTACGTGCTTATTCACTCTCGCCTTAAAAAGGCCCGGAGTATAGTGTTCGAGAAAGACAGCAGCAGGCAAATTCGAGTTTTTTTCGATTCGAGTCCCCAGTTGGTCGCATTTGGGTCAGTTTTAAAGTTCTTTCTATTCTATTCTTTGTCATTCATGTGATGTCAGACTGAATAATGTGTCTGGAAAAATAATGGCGTTGTTAAGTTAATTACTACTAATTACCTTAATTGTGAAAACGCACGTTTTAAAGACTAATTTAAAATTATACCTATTTTCAATGGGTTTGATAAATTATAGCTTCCTGACTCTGCAAGTTATTGTGTTAATTTCGTTAATCGTCAGAAAAAAAAATCTGTGTAAGTGCGTTTTCGACCGACTATAATCCTCTATAGCGACTGAAGCTCAGTGGTTTAAAACAGACCAGTCCTTCTGTCATCAAAAAGTACTTAGTAAGATTTGAGTCCCACCTTCTGAGACAATCAATTTTGATTCTAAGACATCAGTAATACAGCTAAACTTCTAATACCTTAATCGACAAAATTAAGTATCGATAAAAGTCGTTAGGAGTTAATTATTGTCCCAGAACTTCAACAAGATTTATATTATCCGCATCGACCTCGATGTGTACCTAACTCCCAAAAAGTATGTTTGTCTGTAAACTTCTATGTAAGGCGTTGTCGTAGGCGGTAATCGCCGCAATTTGCCGGACAATTGGATAAATGACCGATGACATTCAGTTAACAGTCGAACAGTATGCCGTCAGGCCATTGGAGACATTGAAATTTAAGGTATACCTACCTAACTAAACATTTTAACGTAAACGAAATCACAAATTGGTTAGTTGACACCAATAATGCTAAGTTAACAACAGCTCTGAAATCCATTGCTTTAAAATTAATTGCCCTACAAAAACTTGGGAGTCAGGCTTCATAAAAAGTATGCCAATGGGCTGGTGGTGTGAAGCCTAACTCCATCGTGTAACAGATTCAGACAGACTGACTAATATACAAAGTATGCCCTCAGGTCCATTGCACATTGCCTGCACTGTATCTTCATTATATTACTTTATCAGACGAAAGTATTTTATCATAAGAACTTAAGTACAGTCGATAACCCATTAGACTAATCATATTTGTTTCAAAAGTGCACCTGTTAAGACTACATTTTTAAGTGTTCCATTACAGTAACAATTTAGGTACATACAACGTACTTTTTTACCGTAAGTATTTATTTTAGATAGCTACTTAACGCTTATTATGAAGTACTTGGTACGAAAATATTATATCATCAAAATAATACATAAAGGAAAATAATGATCTACGATAACAATATTAGTTTGTGGATATAAAATATTTAATTTAGGTACTAATCAATCGTATCAGTAACAAAAATATCGCGTGTCAGAACTTTCAATATATTGCTACACATAATAATGATATTGTACATAATTATTAGTTCTATGTATAATCGCGTGTGGGTGGAGTTTTCCCATGAAATTAAACCCCTTTGTTACTGTAGTGCGTTTATCATCCAGCCCATGACCTGACCTTGGGGAAATCGATAGACTATCGTCCATTTAAAATACATGGCATAATCCCATAACTACGGCTGTCACGAGTATTGGTCAAGCATTATTATTTGATCATATCAATATGGTGCTCTCTAAATCAATATTTTTGTCCGTTTGTTGACAGTGAACACGTATTAAAATATTGAAGTACCTACACGTAACTATTACGTTATGATTACAAATTAATGATTGAAGGTTTGTTTGCATTAAGTAACTAAATAAACTAGCTGTGCCCGCGACTTCGTACGCATGGAAATCAAATCGTAATTTTTCCCTTGCTTTCTCACCGTTTAAACCTTCCCTGGACTACAACAATTATTTAAAAGCGGTCCAGCCATTCCTTTATGGGTCCTTATTTTACTAGCAAACGCTCACTCACCTGTACCCATACACCCACTCCAGCTTCAGCTTGTTCTGCGGCGGGGGGGCCACCTTGGCGAGGTCCAGGCCCACCAGGCTGCTAGGAGCATGTAGCACCATGGGCCTTCTCTCATGGGTCCTTATTTTACTAGCAAACGTTCACTCACCTGTACCCATACACCCACTCCAGCTTCAGCTTATTCTGCGGCGGGGGGGCCACCTTGGCGGGGTCCAGGCCCTCCAGGCTGCTGGGAGCGTGTAGCACCACGGGCCTTCCTCGGAGGTACATCCGCATGGAGCCGTCTTCTTCATTGTACTGGCAGGTGTGAGTGCTGGGGAAAGTGATGAAGTAAGTACAAGTACTCATATCGTCGCTACTTCCCTGGACAAAGCAACATTTGTGACAGTTTTAATTTCGAAAATGATTCACTTTCGCTTTTATGACTTTTAAAAACGGTGAAAAAAGTGATTTCGAAATGAAAATTCGAGTTTATCTGGGGGGCAGGTAATTTTTAAGGTTCCGTGTTGCAGAAATAAGCTCCAAGATTGATGTGAAATCGAGTATCAAGTGTTGTTTTGCAATACGGACCCCTAGTCTCCAAATGCAGGAGCACGACCCTCTAATTTTTAGAGACAGTTGGAAGATTTGCCCAAGTATGATGGCAGTGTCCTATTTTAGTTCAATAATGGGGAACAGGGTTTTTAAAATCAATGTTACAACAGCTAGATAATGTTGCTTTTCATTATGAGGCCCTAGAGAAATGTTAACAAAACGATTTTATGTTGCAGAATATGTGTCAGTGTCAGGATTAGATATGAAATAATTTGACCTACTTCCTTAGCATCTGCTTACTTGAGATTGAAATCTTTTCTTTAACTATTAAAATTACTGGTAGTCACAAAACACGATAATATGTAATTTATTTTTAACATAAAATTGCATAACTATTTTTAATTTCTTTTATAAGGGAAAATAATAATAATAATGTTATCGTTAATGGTTAGTGATGGTTATTTATATTTTAGTAATAATTAATTAAGTTATTTTTAATAAATCGAAAATGTTAATGCATGCCTTTCGTCAGTCAGTTAGTAAATTTTATGTTAGTGTCTGAGGCAGATTTTTTATTTATTTTAAGTAAGTAAATAATCAAGCATAAATCTCCCGTTGCACAAAAACCGCAAAGCGACTTACATAGAGGTGAATGACATTTTTGCAGTATCTACCGGCGCTTCGCCCACAAAGTCAAAGTTTTAAAAGAAATACGACCACCCGCGAAGAGGCAAGCGTCCAAATGCCCACTAGTCGGCACAAAACAATCTAAAAACAAATGTTATTATCCTGTTACATGAGTGTACACGCTAATTGACCATTATCTGATAGGAAAATGATAGCGATGTAAAACTTTTGTAACCTACCTGTCGTCCATGGCGGCAAAACAATCAAAATATTTTTTTTGTTCAAATAAGGCAAGGGAATCGAGCACACGGCCGCGGGATAACTTTTTAAAACTGGTTTCGGATTAAATAACGCGAATCATACAGCCGGCGACCGAGAAAAACGTCGGTAGACTGCGGGTGAATTCAACGAAGCGGACTGAGACGGTATTCATAGCGCTTTAGTTTGCGTGTTTTGCTTTGATTCGTCACACATCGCTACTTGTGTTTGAAGTTTGGTAATAACTAGACAACGGCGGCGCGCAATGTATTAGTCGACATATAAATGAGGTCATATCTGTTACGTGGTACTTACAAGAATGATGTTGTTGTACTAAGTTGTTGTATGAGTCATCTCTAATCTAGATGAATGCAGAGTGACGTTTATTTAGGTTTGTTTGAAGCAAATTGCAAGCGTTCAAATAATGCCCATACTGGTAACAATCAAGATTCTGAAGACACCAACTAAAGGTCAATAGCTACTACCTACGCCTGCTAATTAGCAGATGGCCAATCAAGTAAAGTCGTCTTCAAACCCACACCTGTGAATGAACTTGTAATAAGTAACTTTAATTTATTATGGAAATATGTATGTACGTAATACGTATGTATCTACGAGTATGTATATGTCACCGTAAAATTGTGAATTTCGTCAGATTATAATCTGACGTAGTTAAATTACAATCTAACCTAACCTAACCCACTGTGAGTTTACAATCTAACGCGTTATATTATAAACTGACAGAGTTCACAATTCACGTTGACATATACGAGTACACACGGCACCTTATTTTTGCTTGTGATAAAACATTTTTGTTTATTGTGATAATCACAACGTAATACAAATTATTTAATTCATGATCATTAGAGCTGTTTTATTTATTCATGTACGTTTGTTGATGACAATGTACAGTCCGCAGCATTACAGTTAGATACAAAATAGGGCTTAGGCCCGATTCGACCAAACTTTAATCAGAGAATCCTCCTGGTATAACTGGCACATTGACAGATTCAGTATGGGAAATACATATGTCAAACTCTAGTTTGGTTGAATGGTGAACCGTGGTTAAGCTGCTCTTTGGACACTACAATGTGATCACAATGGATTAGATGGGCGTTGCAATGAAATCATCATTTTTTTTACACATCGATTTTTAATCTACTGTTAAATTATCATTAGATTGTTTTTATTTACAACTGACGCCCGTGACTTCATTCTCAATATCTTTACCTATAATTTAATCCTAGCTGTAACCAAAACCAAAACTACGTACACACTAGGTACACACGTTACATAAGTAAGAAGAATAATTCATGTAGCTTTTAGATTATAATATTAGTAGGAAATGTTTACTACCTAAACATCATAAAGTCTAAAATTACCGATGTGGTACCTACTGTAAATAAACTACTCATATAAAAAAAAATCTAGTATAAATATTTTACGTATCAAAATTTCCTCCTCTTCTTAGTTTACAGTTGGAGAGCCGTTGGAGAGCGGGCTACAATCTATTCTTTGACGAAATCCAGATACTCATATCGATCGACTGCTGTCTCTGCTTTAGTCTACATTTTTAAAGACATGGAAGTACCTATAACTAACCTACTTTAGTTAAACGACAAGTTTATAACATCCGCTTGCATGTCCGCTGCAATGAAAGCAACTAACCGCCATTTATACTGCAATCTGAGCAACTGACCACATCAGCTCATTGCAGCCCAAGGCCGGTGATCACTATCTATATTTTATATTATTACGCCAATTATGGTATATTCTGCGATTCCTCCAAGTGTATTATCTTTACTGACATCGCATTTTGCATCCAGAGTTCCAGATAAAGATCGATAATTAACGATTCTGTTTAAAAGCTTTGGTGAAAACACATTACCTACCTTCCTTTGCGTAGCGCAGTCAGGTAAAAATATTGATATAATTTGTTACAGTAAACACCATCACTGATGTTTCTTTCTGGCTTCTTAGGCGCGTGAGGACGAGGAGAGGTCCTCTCCTCACTCAGTATTTTGTTAATCATTTATAGGATGTAAATATTTGACGTTTGTATGTATGTGTGACCTTAGTTGTTACCACTACACGCCTGACTGGTAGAATAAATACCTATCTGATGAACGTCAATGGCAAAGTGTAACTCGCGAAACGTGTATAAAGTGTGTCGTACATGGAATGTGAGCAAAAAATAAGAAACCTCAAGTTGTGCTTGACAAAAACCAAGTGAGACCAAGAAACACCCATCACCAAATGCAAAGAACAAATATCCACACCAAAGCGAGACCCTTGACCAAACCCATTGTCGACTTACCCGTGCTTCAGGATAGGCCCATTCTGTGTCGGCTTAGAATACAAATTTAGCAACGACTTTGTTGTTGTAAATCTAGAGGGAAACCAAGAAACACGGCATTAGAAACTAATCTAAAAGGCTAACTAAATCACAACACAGAGAGCTTGTATTTGAAGCTATAGCATTTTCTATGTGACCAAATAGTTTAGCGGTGCTTGAACAGCCTATTTGAAAGCGTTCAGTGTACCCAGTATATTTATGTAGGTATTTCTCTGATGTGTAGGTCTGTTTAATTTTTCTTGGAATTATAAAAACTCGGACTTTATCTATACCTTGACCTATTCCATACCCTTATAAAGATATGAATAAAATAGTTTTTCGATGCGCCTTGTATAAATGTGATAGAGTAAACTGGGATGTAATTTTGCTCTTACTAGAACGGTAGGCCAATGCTTAGCCAAGGCCAAGAATAACAAGTAAAAAAAAACTTTTGGATCTATCTCTTCTACTACCGTCTTAGCAAGAGTTGGACAGAGCCCGCTGTAGCGTTTACTATAGTATATTCACATAGCTACGTGGCGTGACCTGGTGGCTTATTCCACTATTCCCCGTTGACAATCCCCGTCAACGGGGATTAGTGAACTTTTTGTTCACTATTCCCCGTTAACGCCAATTTGAGCTTATAATGGGGAATATAGAACTAAAAAGTTCATTAATCCCCGTTATATTAGGATTTTATTTTTAACGTAATGGAGATTACGGGATTATTCACTAATTACGGGATTAATTAACTTTTTAGTTCATTATTCCCCAGTTCACTAATCCCCGTTGACGGGGATTGTCAACGGGGAATAGCTGGACCTGGTCCAGACCAGGTCTGGGTAGAGGCGTAACTTTCGGAAGGCTAGGTGGTGCGGTGCACCATGGCTCAGACCCAAACCTCATATTTAACTAGCTAAGTATTCAGAAGATGCTTAGAACAATAAGATGCAAGATAAATTAATGGTAGCACCTTATTTGAAAGAATACACGGAATTACTCACTAAGTTTCGGTTTCTATTCGAAACTTTGAAACTCATGTTAAGGCCTCAGTTTTCGCACCAGGGCTTTTAGTTCCCTAACTACGCATCTTGGTATGGGTATACACACGCCGTCCCATCTCAGGCTATGGTCTTCTATAAACGCCGTTGCCGCGAACAGCGTCACGCCACCATAGGGCGCGTCACAATGCTTAGGTGTACTGTTGTGGTTTCCTTCAGACGCTGACGTCAGCATATGGACGTCGTGCATTTCTATAGAAGCATTGTGACGCTGCCTACGGCTTGACGCGTTGACGCTGGCTACAGCGCTTATTAGGAGACGATAGTCTTACACAAAACACTACGCGGCTATACAAGTATACTGTCTCCAACTAATGATAAAGCGAAGCACTAACCTGGAGGAGGAGATGAGCCCTTGAGCGTTGAAGTCTCCGGTTGAACTCCACCGCTTGGTGAGGTTGACGCCAGGCGACTGGCTCTGGTTGCTGGACGTGGAGTTGTTGCGCGATCTACGGCACACACTACTGTAGCTGGAGCTTTAGCTTACTATCTACTGGTACTTGTAGTCCGCATAGACTCGAGCAATTTAAAAAAAAAGGCAGATTCACATGAACTTACTCTGAACTTTATATGGCCCCAGTTAAATTACGTAGAACTTTTGAGATTACTAATAAAGCCCGGTCCATGAGCACGTAGAATTTTGTCCAATGACCCCTAGCTACCCATCCATATCGCTCGCGCGTAATTATATTGCTGTCGCGACTGTGCGACTGGCACCCGCAGTGAGTGTGCGAGCGCGATAGCAACATAATTACGCGCGAGCGATAAGGATGGGTAGCTAGGGGTCATTGGAGAAAATTCTACGTGCTCACGGACCAGACTATACCGATAATTTTCATTCAATTTTTATCATCTCTTGTTTATATGTACAAAATTGCTCAAGCCTATTGGCGTGGAGTAATACTAAAATACAACCTTATTCTCGCTAATTTAATAACTTAATCTACTTACAAAATTACATAATCGCTTACAAATAAAGCCTAGCGGCCTATCCTTTACATACTGGAAGGTGTGTAACAGATTACATCTATTAGCTTGTTGCACAATTTTATAGCATTTTTGTGTTACCTCATGGTGTGGCTCTGTTTAGCATACTAGGGTGTCAAACGAAGTAGGACCTTTACAAGTATGAAATAATTTTCAGTACAGCCGACAGCGCAACAGTATTAATAGCTCTTTTCAACCGACTTCAAAAAAGGAGGAGGTTCTCAATTCGACCCGTATGTTTTTTTTTTCTATGTTTGTTACGCGATAACTCCGCCAATTATGAACCGATTTGAACGGTTATTTTTTTGTTGAATAGGTATTATCAAAAGGGTGGTTTCATGCGAATTTGAAGAAAATATTTCACCCCCAAGGGTGGAAAATCGGGGATGATCTTTTTTATACGCAATATTTTAAATTTTTAGTTTTTTTTTGTGTTCACGCATTTGAAGTCGGTTTTATCTTTTTAAAAAGTTAATTATCACAACTGCATAAAATACAACTGTGAGCTTGATACTCCTTGATATGCCACTGTCTGTTACATTCTGTACTGAAAGCTAAACTAGATGTTGTTACATTCGTCGATTGAATTTTTTGTTATCGTCGATTTGCCACAAAGTCGATTGGTAAACTTGATACGGCTCAACTTCTGCAGATTCATAAACTTTGTGTGGTTATTGTCGATTTACTGTAGAGTCGATTCATCACGCAAAAATAATGTGTGAATTTTTCACAAAATTATTTTGAAGTAAAGCCTGGTCCGTGAGCACGTAGAATTTTGGCCAATGACCCCAAGCTACCCATCCTTATCGCTCGCGCGTAATAATATTGCTGTCGCGACTGTGCAACGGGCACCCGCAGTGAGTGTGCGAGCGCGACAGCACCATAATTACGCGCGAGCGACAGGGATGGGTAGCTTGGGGTCATTGGACAAGTTTCTACGTGCTCACGGACCAGGCTTTAGCTACATAGAACTCGTTGAATCGTCGTATTTACAAAAGTGTGACGAATCGGCTTTGTGGCAAATGGACAATAACCCATTTTGTGGGGTTCCGGACTTTCTATCGTCTGTTTTTTGCAGGACTTTCCAGATGCTAAACCTATATTAGGCGGACTCAGTGTCCTGTTCAGAGTAATCATTAGTGTGCAATACGCAATACCGCCTCGTATCTTCTAAGAGCAATCATTAGTGTCACAGTGCAATACCTACTCGCTATACCTGTACGGCTGCGGCGGGTGAGGGTGGAGGGGCGCGGGGGTGGCGCGGGGCGAGGGCGAGGGCGCGGGCGACAGCGACGACGACGACGCCGGCGAGTCCGACTGGAGGGAGCCGGTGGACTGGTGCTGCGGGCCGCGTCTGGAAGAAGAGAGGCGACGGTTAATGAAGTGTTATTCTTTTACGCACGGTCTAATAACTTTAAACCTGCCTAAGGTGGGAATCGATCGATGGAGCGGGCTATGCTCGGAGTTTCCCTGCGTGATCGAATCAGAAATGAGGAGATCCGCAGGAGAACCAAAGTAACCGACATAGCTCGCAGAATTGCTAAAATCAAGTGGCAGTGGGCGGGGCACATAGCTCGTAGAGTAGAGACGATGGCCGTTGGGGCAGGAAAGTTCTCGAGTGGCGACCACGGGCTGGAAGACGTAGCGTGGGCAGGCCTCCTACTAGGTGGACCGACGATCTGGTAAAGGTCGCGGGAAGAGCCTGGATGCGGGCAGCGCAGGACCGTTCATTGTGGAAAACCTTGGGGGAGGCCTTTGTCCAGCAGTGGACGTCATTTGGCTGAAACGACGAAGGTGGGAATCGAAACCACGACCTTTCACATGTCGGGCGACTCCTTTTCTATCTAAACTACTAGACACTGGATGAACCCGTCGAAATTTTTCAAGTGTAATAATACTCTGTTACGGCCAGCATTTATGATAGAAATTATTTTCTTCTTTGAGACGCAGAGGAAGAGTGAGTGGCGAACGTTTGCGAATATGTTAGCAATGTTATCTTATCTAAGTTTGTCGCCATAACAACAATCTCAAAAGCATTATAAACATATAGCTTGAGAGTTGAGCTTGAGTTTATATAAATAAAAAACAATATGTTTCGGCAGCTGAAGGTATGCTCGCTTCCCCTATTGGCCTGATTATCTTGTGAGATTCAGGCCAAGGATACAAGGCCATGGACTTTTTTTTGTGGATTAGGGTCTCGGAATCAAACCACATTTGCTTGCTCATATGGTCAAACTGCTGCCGATTCGAGTGTCTCTCTTTAGGGCGATCCTGTCGACCTCTGAACTACGAGTATCATGGTGATATCCTATGCATTATAAACCCAAGGATAAACAGTTTGCATACTTGAGGGGCCTACATATTAGTAAATTGTTTCATCACCAGTAATCTTTAGAAGGCACCAGTGGAAATCCTTGGGGGAGGCCTTTGTCCAGCAGTGGACGTCTTTCGGCTGAAACGAACGAATCTTTAGAAACAAATATGTGCACGCCACCTAAGAATGTGAATGCACCTTAATATCAGCTTGATATTTACCTCTGTGGCAACGAAGATCCTGTGGATCCGTAGCTGGAAGTCCGCTTGGCGGTCTCCCGGTAAGACGGCTGCCGCAGCCTCAGCTCTCGCGTTGGAGTGCCCTGCTGAGATCCTGGAAGAGAAAGAGAAAATACATCTTTAGTAAGAAGGTGGTGAGCAAGTATAATAATTATGCATATATTATCATCATTAGGAAGGAGCTGGGGCGTAGTGTGAGTTTACGCCAAACGCATTCGATGTCGACTGTCATTTTTTTTGACATTTAATGTCACTTTTTTACGCAGTTGTGACGGATTGTACAGCGCCCCTAGCGGAAACATGCAATAACCAAAATCTACTATATAAAAATAAGTCGGGTTTTCCTCCCTGACGCTATAACTCCAGAACGCACGAACCGATTTCCACGGTTTTGCATTCGTTGGAAAGGTCTCGGGCTCCGTGAGGTTTATAGCAAAGAAAATTCGGGAAAAGGGGGTAAAACGGGATCCACGCGTACGAAGTCGCGGGCGGCCGCTAGTCTTCATATATTTTTAACGCGCTCGCTAGTGACAACGTTTGATGTAAACTCACATTAAGCCCTCAGATCAATTAAGAAATTGTTGAGACTGTCTTGGTGTCTTATAACGAAAGGGTACAGAAGAAAAAGATCATCATCAACGTATTTTTAGTACATTATTTATTATCTCACTCACGAGTCATAATAATCATAATTATTAATTTGGTACGCTCTGTAAACATCGGAAAAGTTTTCGACAGAATATAAATGTATCGAAAACCAGTATTTTCTCGTAACGGGAAACAACCTTTGGTTCTTTTTAATGTATTTTATATGATGACCAAATAATGTTGTGATGACATCACAATTTTGTATGTTATGCAAATAAACAAGAATTGTTAATTAATACTCAATCCACCAATATTGAATCAAAATGCAACCTAAAATTCAAAATGACGTTCTTCACAGTCTTTTGTGCAGCATCAAATGGTAGTACAGTTTACATTAATCAAATTTAAAGCAATTTGCGACTAACATCAGCATTTAGGGAGATGATTGTCTGTGTAATATATTGATTAAGTCCTTTTGGGGGCATCAGTGTGATAAAGTCTGATCATAAATAAATAATAATTCACAATTATGTCAAATTAAGCCAGGTGCAGCGTCCCACATTGATGCAGGCGCAGTAAGTTTGACTACATAATTGTAAACTGTACGATAAATCAGTTTTTTAGCCTGAAAGCTATCTCCAACACCAGAGACTGGTCCTAAGACCAGGTTCCACGCAGGGTTACACCACAAACAGTGAAAGGACAACAGAGCCCCGATTACGGTAACTTTTAACGTCAACAATCCAGACACGCTTCTCGATTGTGCGATACGATTGGTCAAAACAGCTGACGTACGCTGTTGAACGACCAATCGTATCGCAGAATCGAGAAGCGTGTCTGGATTGTTGACGTTAAAAAATACCGTAATCGGGGCTCAGGTAGCTGTACCGTTGCGTCACAGAGAACGCACGCGGATTCATTTCCTAGCTGGTTCGGTTATTAATGGACGACGATTATTGCAACGAAATTCAGGAAATGCACCCCGACTGTTATGTCACTGTGATTGGGCTCTGCTGGCCGAATGTTAATTAAAGTTGACCGTTGACGTAAACATTTCCGTAATATATTGTAGACAGTAACATTTATTTTATTAACGACACGACGTTGTATTGATGTTAGTAAATTACATTTTATATCCACAGTATGAACACGTCGTAGTTAAAAATAACAAAGGAATTATAAAAGTAATTATCACGAATGAATTCTTTAATGACGAAGATTATTAAAATTAACTAATTTAATTAATTTACAGCTATTCAGCAATTTATATTGATTTATTACGCTGTTGCTTATTTTTCAAGACTTGTGTTGAAATAAGTAATTGTTAAACTGCATTTGATTTTGTCTAGTACTTGATTTATTATGTTGAGATGGTTAAATAATTAATGAATCGTTGTATCCAGTGGATTTTGTAATAAATTAATAATTAATTTATTGTAATTTTCCTAATATTATTAATTATTCTTTATTATATAATTGAAAATATTAATCTTGTTATGCCTTTGAGGTTTCCTAATTGAAAGTTTATATGTATTTTTTATGCATGGATAGTAATCAAAGCAAGTACATAAGTTGAATTTAAAGACCTCTTATCTAACTACAATGCAACGCTAAAAGTTTATGATAAAGGATAGTTGCCAGGTCTAAAAGGTTAGGATAGCTCCTCCGCCTGTCTTGGAGCTTGAACTGGGGCGCCACTAGCTCATCTCACCCCGAGTTTTTCCATCTTGCTGGAGCTCGAGCTCGGATGCCACTAGCTCACGTTTCTCTGTCCGGCGGGCGGCGTGCGGCCCTCGAACGCGTCGGCGAGGGTGGAGCGCAGGCATAGCAGTTCCTCGGCCTGGAGCTCGAGCTCGGGCTCACTAGCTCGCCTCACCTGTGTAGGTGCCACTAGCTCGCCTCACCTGTGTAGGTGCCACTAGCTCGCCTCACCTGTGTAGGTGCCACTAGCTCGCCTCACCTGTGTAGGTGCCACTAGCTCGCCTCACCTGTGTAGGTGCCACTAGCTCGCCTCACCTGTGTAGGTGCCACTAGCTCGCCTCACCTGTGTAGGTGCCACTAGCTCGCCTCACCTGTGTAGGTGCCACTAGCTCGCCTCACCTGTGTAGGCGCCGTTCCTCTGCCCAGCCGGCGCGGGCGGCGCGCGGCCATCTAGCGCTTTAAGCCGCCACAGCGCGTCGGCGAGGGTGGAGCGCAGGAACAGCACCTCCACCGCCTGGAGTGCAAGCTCGGGCTCACTAGCTCGGCCTTACCTGTGTAAGCGCCGTTCCTCTGGCCAGCCGGCGCGGGCATCGCTCGACCCTCCAGCGCGTTGAGTTGAGTTGGAGCCAGGCACTGCAGATCCTCGCCTGGCGGAGCTCGAGCTCGGGCTCACTAGCTCGCCTCACCTGTGTAGGTGTCACTAGCTCGCCTCACCTATGTAGGTGCCACTAGCTCGCTTCACCTGTGTAGGTGCCACTAGCTCGCTTCACCTGTGTAGGTGCCACTAACTCGCCTCACCTGTGTAGGCGCCGTTCCTCTGGCCGGCGGGCGCGGGGGGCGCTCTGCCCTCTAGTGCGTTGAGTCGTCGCAGCGCGTCGGCGAGTGTGGAGCGCAGGCACAGCAGCTCTTCGGCCTGCCGCGCGCAGCGGACCTCGAGCTCGGCGACGCGGGCAGCCAGACCCGCGCCCTCGCCTTCTAGCATTTCATCTGGAATAAGGGAAAAATAACCTTTAAGACCAATGAAGTTCTTACTCTTCGAATACAATTTACCATCCCAACTAATATTATAAATGCGAAAGTAACTCTGTCTGTCTGTCTGTCTGTCTGTCTGTTACGCTTTCCCGCTTAAACCTCGCAACCGATTTTGATGAAATTTGGCATAGAGATAGTTTGAGTCCCGGGAAAGAACATAGGATAGTTTTTATCCCGGTTTTTGAAACAGGGACGCGCGCGATAAAGTTTTTCTGTGACAGACAAAATTCCACGCGGGCAAAGCCGCGGGCGGAAAGCTAGTGAGTAAATAGTTTATAAGCTACTACTAGATGGCGTTGTTCGCTGCTAGCTTGCGGTAAATGGTGCATGTGTTTGGTTGGAACCACTGAGTGTAAGTATCTTCTATCTTCTATATAAATAAAAATGAATTGCTGTTCGTTCATCATCATCATCATCAACAGCCCTTTACAGTCCACTGCTGGTTGGAGATCGCAGTTTAAAAGATTGATGCTGTTCGTTAGTCTGATTAAAACTCGAGAACGGCTGGGCCGATTGAGCTGATTTTGGTTTTAAAATGTTTGTCGTAGTCCAGGGTAAGTCTAAACGGTGAGCAAATAAGGAAAAATTGCGATGGCTAATTTATTGCCTTTAAGGCGGAACAGAGTTCGCCGGGTCAGCTAGTTAGCAATAAATATTATGATAAATCAACCCTTCTAGTGTTTGACCGGCAAATAAATCTTGTTTATCAGGAAATCAGATTGCATAAAAGAACCACCAGTTTACCAAATATGGCCAAAATGTCATTGTCAAGAGACGTGATGACTGAATGTTTATTTATGCAAATGAAATGGGCTGGGTGGGGCTGAAACAAAGTTATTAAAGACGTTAATGATGCTGCACTCCTCTCGACAACAGCTGACATTTTATCTCAATCAGGCAAAGGGGTCAAGAACGGACATCGCGACATCACGCCAGATACTAACAAGTAGGGCTTGCAAAATCGGATAGTTTTCAATTCCGGAACTGATTTCCGATATTGGGCACTCAACTCCGGAATTCCGGAACTAGTTCCGGAGTTGGTTAAAAAAAGAAAGCGCCACCCGACAAACATGTACACGTATGTGGCATCCACTTCAGGACCTTGTCCCATCGGCCGTCTGTTCTACGTACTATGTGCCCTGCCCATTGCCACTTCAGCTTGCAAATCCGACCGCTATGTCAGGCGACTGTAGTAATCTCCACATTTCTGGTTCGATCTCGAAAAGAAACACCGAGCATTAGCCCTCTTCATAGCACGCTGTGCAACTTTGAGCTTATTATAAGGCCTATTTATAGTGAGAGGCCACGTTTTCAAAACATAATGTCATCACTACTGGTAACACTCACTAATTGTAGACTTTCGTCTTTGAGTACTGAGGTGTTTTGGTTGAAAAGATGTTATGTAGTTTCTCGTACGCTCCCCAGCCGAGTTGGATTCGACGTATTATAACGTAATATAGAATCGCCCTCGTGCTCAGCCAGGCTCAAAGACCTTCTAATAGTCCAAGAACGCCAGTCATAATGGCAAGTTAGACTCTTCGGTCTTCTGTATAACCTGCCGTAGCGTATAGATGTGGTATATGGTACTGTTAACCTTTTCGATAACCGGCTTCCTCGAGAGGCTATAAGTCATCGAACCTACGCGCGAGACTATTCGTGATGACTCTCAAAAACAGCTTGTAGACATGACTCAGAACCCAGATGGGCCTGTAATTCCTTAATAAGGCTTTTACCCCTGTCTTGAAGAAAAACACCACTACGCCTCTGTTCCATGCCTCTGGCATTATTCCCTGGAGAAGACGAAGTTACAGAGTCTCTGAAGGACTTTCAGTATCGGTTTTCCACCCGCCGCGATCAGAAGCTCCGAGGTTATTCCATCATCACCCGGTGCCTTGTTGTTTTTTAGTTGTATGAGAGCCATCCTAATCTCGTATAGGCTGATGTCCGGGATATCTTCGATATATTGTCGAGTTAGCTTAGCTCTTGGTGGAACTATCCTGTGGTTGAGCTATTAACAGGTTAGGTGACCGTGGTATATAGCTGTCCATAAAAACTTTTCGATCTCTCCCAGAACCCTTTGTTGATGTTACATTACCGTCCGCTGTCTTTAGCTTCGTCAGCTGGCTTTGCTAGAGTTGTCTCTTGCGAACATTTTGGAGCTTTGATTCTTCTCTATCGCCTCTTTAATACTATTAGTAATAAAATTGCGAATACATGACTGTCTCGACTTCCTTATAGAAGGACCGATTTGGATAAAAATCATTTTGAAAACTTAAAATAATTTATGAAAAATTTCAATATCGGAATACGATATTGGCTTCAGTTCCGGAATTGAAATATCGGAAAAAACCTATCCGGAATTCCGGAGTTACGAAATTCCGGAATTCCGGTATTCAAGCCCTACTAACAAGTATTGTTTAGCCAACAATTGATATCTCGGCAATAAAACAATTGAAAGGAAGTCCAATTGGTTTATTGCCACCTTGAGAAATTGAGGGGAAGTTAGATCGGTGATGGCTGCAACTTTAGCCCATTGATGGTGTGTTGCAACTGTTGCAAGTCATCGTTGTCACTCAACTTTCAGGTCACGTGGTCGACCGAATCGGTAACGTTTGCGAATTCAACGCCGTACAAGTGTTGACATACCATTGTACGTAAACAATGGACACGTCGAATTGAGTATGCTCACATATGCAAAAAGTCACCTTAGAAATCTTAAATGATACTCAACTTTAGTTGTATTTAAACAAAGATGATTTCAGTCTGTGTTGGGATTGTGCAAATAGTTTTTCGTGAAGGACTTTTTACATACGTAATGTTTGTTCTGTATATGATGTATGTATCTATCATATGATTTCCGAGAGTAATTCCATTGTTATGGAGTTTACTCAAATGTGTGACGGAATATGAAGTGTACTATTTATGCAGGCAGCGTATCGTTGTTACATAATATTGTAAGTTACGTGTCATATGGTACCGTATCACCGTATGTTGTGTTTTTTTTATCAACAAACTCTTATTTACTTATCTCATTCTAATGTTGTAAGAATCATTGACGCAGTAGTGATTTGATTAAGATAAATTGGTGACTAATATGTAATCCTCGAATCTGTACTACTAACAATATCACACTCACTAAAAATTGAAGAAATCAGAAAAGAGGAAATTAAATAGGAGTGACGCATAGTATAGATCACCCCGCGACAATCTATGGAGAGACGGTAAGTACCTAATCGTCTAAGAAAATAACTGAATTCATCTCTGTCTCATCATAGGAAAACCTTGAGAGATCGACTTATGAAAATTGATCCATGATACTTCAAGCTACAGCTTCCTTGAGTCCGACTAGTCAAAATTGATCGTTGCACTCACGCCAGGCCGCGTAGACGTCGTTCATGGTGTCTCCAGGAGAGTCGCTGGCGCGGGAGCTTCGAGACTCCCTGTCTCCGTGGCTGTCCATGGTCACTTTTGCCACATTTCCTCACTTTTATAAAGTTATTGGACACTTATTTTGAATAAGGCGACATATTTACCCATAGCACTGTTAACATTGAGGCAGAGTCACGTCAGAGCGGAGTTTTTGATCTGATTACGTTTAGAAACAATGACAAAAGAACAACATACTATCATAATATTACGAATGGCACTATAAGTTGCAGATCTATAGCAATTGCAGCTATTACTAGTGTAGCACGTGCCAATAACCCGCATGCAAATGAAGCGATATGGCCTATTGGTCATGGTCATAATTCTTCAAGGTTTTTCATGAATTGAAACAGCACTAAAAGAAAAGATTTTAAAATAACTTTTCTTAGGAGGTAAATGTTTGTAAAGAGCAATAACTATGTAAATATGTAAATGTTTGGACTCCCACTAGTCACAGGTTGTATTATTAAGTAAACAAATAGCATAAAAGTACACAGCAAAAAGCAAACAATTTTTGAGTTCAGGGTCTATTTGCATACCGCAGACGTAGACGGGGCTAATTTTAGAACACATCAAGATGTCGTTAGTACTTGTCATTTGTATGTGTATCCGTGCAATTCTTACAAGGAAAATTTGATGGACGACCTTGCCGAGACGGACTTTTCCTTTCATGTAGATTTTTGCATTACTTGTATAGGACAATTGTTCTGAATACTCAACAGTTAAGATCAGGGTTGTGGTCTTGAATGAATAAGGAGAGATTAGACTTCAACGATAGAGCTTAATATAATCATGAGCATAAAGATGAGGATGAAGAACGAAGAGGTTATCAAGACGATGTCTATTACGAGGAAATACAGGTGTCTATGGGCGACGGTAATCACTTACCATCAGGTGATCCGTTTGCCTATGAGCTGAAGAGAGTAGATGAAGAAAAACTCTGACTGTCGCGAAAGACCAGTCAAGCAGAATGGGAGAGAAAATCTAGGTAGACTGAGATTATCAGTTATTTTTAGTTAATTTTGAATATTTTTGACGCTTACCCAATGAAAATGCGCTTCACAAGCACAACCAAGAGAAATTAAAGTTCCACACTTGATTACGGTTGGGTAAAAACTGGATACTTGTCGGAAGGTCGTGGAGCAACAAGTGTGTTTACTAGTTGTAACGGTACGTCGGCAATTTGCATAGACGATGGAATACGAACGGGGACATTGTAATAGATAAGCGTTTACGCCGAAGTAGGCAACGCGTAAATGAAATTCGAGATCCGCTCACGACACCTGTATAACACTTATACTTAGGACTAGACAGAAACTACATTCCTCTTCTCTTCTATTAAATGCTGCTGCCACATCCAATAAATTGTTTTCATAGTCATTCATTTCAAGTTGCTATACTGTTGTTCTGTCATATGTGATGAATCTTAATTCCAATGAAATGTCAATAATTTGGGGCGATAAACATTTCCAGTTTTCTACGTTACGCGTAGGCTTTTTTAACAACTCTTGACATAACTTTTTAAAAGA